ACCAGGTAAGTCTCGCCTGAGCTGGGTATTCGAAGGGAAAGACCTATGGTTCCACAGGGAGCGTATCTTGTTCACGCAGACATACAGGGTGTTTTTGTTTTATTCTTTACAGAACTTTACATATTTTACAAAAAAAAAAAAAAAAAGGATGTGGCAGATATGTGGATGCCGTCTTTCGCTATATATGTAGGGCTCGGTGGAAAATAAATGGGTGAATAACCGTTGCAGTGTTTAATAATTAACCAAAATATGTTAGTTAACTTGTTTATTAGCGGCCTCATTGGCCATGGTGCAATTGCAGTTTTAAAACGGTCATTATTATAGGCAAACACAATTTCGACAATTCGCGAAAAGGCAACGAGGTTCGCGAAATTGATCGTAAAAGTTTGCTTTCTTCGCTTCATTCAGAAACGGCGTTATAAAAATAATGCGAATAGTGACTTAGTCGTCTTGATGCGTGGCGCCGGCGAGTCCATCGAAGGCACACTGTCGAGTTAGTGACGAGGGGACAGAAATTACTGTGTCATTCTTCTACGCATCAATATCAGCACAACCTCATTCGCGCTTTCAGCGCGCGGTTTTTTAATTAAGCGAAGAAAGGCAAAATTTTAGCGATGAATATCTCAGGACAGAACGAGGGGGTTGGTAGAGATAATTAAGCTTGAGGAAGAAAACGAGAAGGGACGGACAAACACAACAAAAACGAGCGCATTGCTGCTTTCGCTCAAAGCACGTTGTTTGTTCGCGAACTTTCTAAATTGGGTTGGCCTTTAACAATGGCTCCCTTTGAAGCTGCAATTGCAACATGGCCCATTAAACTTTTCATTCCCCCTTTGCCTACCGCAAAATCTTCAACTACAAAAAAAAAAAAAAAAGATTTGGAAATGTCGATTTTTTTTATGTGCCCTGTACTCTGTTTCACCTTGTGTTGTACCGCAGGAAAGGCTACAAGCGCGAGCTCCTTGCCTTAGGGCACATCTTGGCGGCACAAGCTCTCGTGCACCAAGGGCAGCTGCCAACGCTATGAGCTCGCGCGTCTAGTCTCCGCTGCGGCACAACATAAGGTGAAACGGCGTGTATAAAATCGAGGTACCGACACGTGCACCGCTGAAAGTAAAAAAGAAAAAAAAAAGGCGGGCTGCGCGATTTTTTACGGATAACTCGACTACAGCGTCGCCACGAACTGTCAATACACGCGCCCAGAGCACGCGCCCTCACGAGCTCCCGTTGCCGAGCCGCAGCAGCCGCTCCGGTCCGACATAGCGTTGCCAGATGATGAAATTCGGCACCAGATTTAGAAAATCTGGTGAAATTGGGGGGCTACTGGTGTTGATGTACCGGAACGGCTACACCAGACAATATATGGTGAAAACTGGTGAAAAATCTTGAGAAATGGCTTGTCACTTGCATTAATCAAATTTACCTCGTTTTGTTAGCCTTTTGTGAGTGTATTTATGAAGGATATCAGCGATGGATGTGCTTTATGTGTCAAGAGATAGTCCGTGCCAGTGTGACATTGACTTTGTGTGAAGTTAAGTGTTATGTGACTGGATGTCATGCTTATCAGTTGTTTTCTTCTTGAAGCTTGACTTCAAAACCTGTTATGAACTGAACTTTATCACGGTGTTGTATTTCTAATTCGTTCTTGTGTGTTTCTTTTTCTTACTGCTGAGCAGAGATTGGATGCTTAATTTAGATTGCGAGCATTTTTAGGTGCAACATTATATGGTCTTTCTTATATGTCGGTGGCCTTCATTAATTTGAATTTTCTGTCTAAGGACTACCCAGCACAAGCATCTCATAAACATGGTATATCAAAAAGTAACAATGCTGATAATGCGCCACATGTCTGCTTTCTTCCTTTTCTATTGTGCTGCGATGCCTTATATTAGTGAACCACCTGAAAGCTATCCCTTTGCGAGTGCATGTGTAAAAAAGCTGAAGGAATTGGAAATACGTAATAGACGCAATATTTCAGTGCTGGTGAAATCTGGTGAACTTCCGGTCAGAATTTGGTGCCGAAGCATCTTTCCAATCTGGCAACGCTGGCCCGACACCTGACCACAACGGAAGTCCGGTTGGTCCGGTGATGTCGGGCGAGGCCCGACTCATGACCTCAAAGGGTTAAAGTCGCAGAGACGAAAAATAAATATTAGTTTGAAATAGTGTTGATCATTCTTGAAGATGAGACAAGATTGCAAACAACTGTGGACTAAGTCGTTTTTAGTCCTTCGTGGACTAATTTGTACTACCTGCTTCAACCGAAGTGCGATCAGGGTTGCCAGGTTGGGCAATTAATAGCCAAATTGGGCTGCTTTGTCATGCATTTGGCGTCGAAATTTGGTGGTTGGCTATATGGCTATTTCAAATCCTAACGCGGCACTTTTTTCTTTGTTTTTTTTTTTGCTTGGTTTCGAGTAGTTGTACAAAAGGCTTTTCAGCATGGACACAAAGCGACAGTCCACCCTTTCTGGATTCCCGCTTTCAGGGATTTTCTGCGTGAAGATTCGTGGGCGTGATGTCAGAACCTATTAGCTCAAGTAAGTTACCGTGACATAGATTCAGCTCCGACGACATCGCTTTTGTAGTAATTGTGGCTTATTTTATGCTCCCAAGTTCTTTCTGCTTACTACTGGCGTCTCTTGTTTTCTCGAGCTTCCCACCATCCTCCTACAGGAAGCACATCATCCGAGGGAAAATGATACTAAACGCAACTCAAGACATCCTGCAGAATTTGATGTCGCCCGATAACGCGTGCTGTACCGGATATAACGAAGGAGGCTTTTCCGCAAAACATGAAAGTTTCTTAAAGCACAATGAGCCATAACAAAAGACAACAGATTGGGACAATGAATATTCCGAACAAGGCCAAGATCAATGCGCAGGAGCAGCCCTGTTTCCGTTGCTATCCGAGCTTGCCATCGCGCTTCCGACACTGCCCATGTCGAACGCCGCCGTGGAGAGAGTATTCAGTCACGTGTCCCTCACAAAGTCAGTCCTAAGGTAGAACATGTTCTTTCGAACTCTTCAAAACGTCCTCTATGTAAAGTTTGCTTTCCTTGGGAAGAACGAGTTCTGTAAGGACATCAACCCTACTGAAGTTTTTGCCCGTTTTAACACAGAAATCATGTATGAGGCGGGAAAGCCGGGCGCGAGCGTGTGCTTCATAACTATGTGACTTCAAAAACGTGTGTGGAAAATTTTTGTACTTTTGTGTTTGAAATAAAACGTTCAATGCATTTCAAGATGTAGATCTTGCAAGCTGCTCCTAAACCCTAGATATGCAGACGCAGTGCCTTCGAATTGAGCTCGCACATTCAAGCACACAATTTTTTGGGCTCTGCAGAATATGGCTACTTTTGGGCTACATAAATTTCTTGTATTTGGCTACTTTTGGGCTACGCCGTCTGGCTTTTGGCGGTTTCAGCTAGAAACTACCTGGCAACCCTGAGTGTGGTCGGTGAAGCACTGGCACCACATGGATGCAAGCATTCACGTGCGGTCAGTGCAGGTTTCCGGGAAAACCGGTTTTGTCAGTGCTACTTGCAGGAGACTGCACAGTATTAACGTCAACGGTCGAAAACAGTCGTGCAAAGATAAAAGCAACAGGAATCCGTCAAAGAAACAAGGCAATTGATGTTAACTGTCGAGAACATATTTAAGCAACAAGCAGTCCTTTACAGCTTCTGCAGTCCGTCCTTGATGCTGGCCATCGTCGAAGAAAGGCTTGCAAGCATTTCGTCCGTTCGCGCTGTCTCCTGCGGCAGAGAACCAGCTTCTCGCTCTATGTCTTCGATGGCCGACGCCCTAGACGTTCTGTCGAACTTGCCGGAATCCTGAATCATGGCGACGACGGTGCCACCGCAGTTCTTTGCGTTCTTGTCGAGCGCACACTCTGCCTGCATGATGACGGTTTCCACTTCGGCTGCCTTAAAGGGCCCATGAAACGATTTTTGGGTTGGGATAAATCATTTTAGATTGGGATTTTACTAATAGCACATCGTTCAGTGGACCAAAAGCAAAAGGTAGAAAGTCAAAAGCCTGACTTTCAGTGCAAAAATTTGAAAACAGAGCGGACTATTTCGTACCTCCTCCCCTTCGCAACCTCTCTGCCTTTTCACTGTGATACAACCGCGGTCCCAAAAGCGCGTTATCGGGTCCAAACTGACGTCACACGCAACCGGACCTCACTTATTCCCTTCACCCCTAAGCTGACATTGTGGTTGAAGCTACGCGCTTACCGGACCAATCAGCCGCCTCCCTTTCATCACCTGACTTCATTCTCTGCAGCCACATTTGCCACGCTCACGTGGCAAGTGTGGCTGGCCCAACGAGCACGTAGCTTCAACAGCACTGTCAGCTTCGAAATGAACGGGGTGGGGAAAGCAACTTTTGTCTGAATTTTGAGCGACGGGCTAATATTCTAGGGGGAGAATGGATGTGTCCGGATTACGCAAACGAGAGTGCGAGCAAGAGGGGACTCCCCCTTTTCGTCTTCTTTAACTGTTTGGTGGAATGCGCGATTTATGAGTTGAGGAGGAAAGCGAAACAGGAAAAAGTTGGAAAAGCGTTTCATGACCCCTTTAAGATCGAAGAGGCCCTGCAGTCTCGCAACAGCCAGTTGAACTGAAGACATTTCGGAAGAAGGGTGCCTGTAATCTGCCTTCACTTGTCAAGCACGGGCACGACCGGTGGACACGACTCACGAACACCGTGGAAAGACGCAAACCACAGTTGTGCAAACACCGGAGTCACTGAAAAAGTAACAAACAGCTGAAACAGCCCAACCAGCCGACGCAAACGCAATTTGAAAAAGTATACTCTCGTTACCAACCACTGCATTACCAACCGTTGACGACCACAAGAACATATCGAAGGTGTTTTGTTATAATAAACTAACAATAAACCAAATATAATAATCTAAAATTTCAGGTGATACTCTTAAATAAAACAAATAATACAAAATTTGTCGCACGAATAGGAATACTAGGAATACTCTCGGCGCAGGTGGTTGCCGATCTGAAACAAATGGCGGCGCACTTGTGTGACTGGTGTGACCAGACTCCGGTGTGACTGGCGTTGTTCGGTTGTTCGTACCGACGTTTGTTCATATCACAGCACCTTGTTTCCGTAAGATTCGTCGCCTCTCCGCTTCTATCCGTTGGCTGTAGACGCCCGAAATGACTGCTCCAGGAGGAGGAGGGTTCTCGTTCGGAACTCCGCAAACCCAGGCATCTCCGTTTGGCACCGCGTTTGGGGGACAGCCGTGAGTGCGAGTCGCCCGTAGCGTTGTCAGAATGTTCGCTTCCTCTTCACGAGGATATACCGCTTTTACAAAACGTAATCGGTGTCTCCCAAACGCTTATTTCCTTCCTTCTGTCAGGGTTCAAACGAGCGCCACCGGTATGCAATCTGCGTTTGGGGCTGCAGCACCGACAGGTGATCAACGCGTGCTGCTCGGCATTCGCGGCGCGAAGTTCGTTGTCGTACCCGGTTTCTCACACGGTATCGCATTTGCAGGTGGCGTGCAGCCCTTCAGTTTCGGCGCGACTCCGACGGCGACAGTTGCACCGACTGGTAAGGAGCGTTTGCTCGATGCTGCAGGCTGTCACCGTCGCGTTTTTAAAGGGCTGCGTCTAGCCTGCCGACCGCCCGCAGAATAATTTTTCCGAAGTTCAACCGGCAGCCCCATCCCATTAGCTGCCTGACATCGCGTGAAACCTGCCGCGAGAACAATTTCCCGCAATTATACCGGCATTTGCCTCCCAGTGGCTCTTACTTAAAAGGATACTACAACGAAATTTCGGCGCTTTTTTTAGTCTATAGGTGTTCAGAGGAGCAGTATCACATCAGACACACCAATATCTTGTTAAAAAAGACACGAAAAGGAATTTTAAAACGAATTAAACGACTAGCAAAGAGCACCTATTGAATGTCGCTAACGCCTCGTTTGTAATGTTCGTCTAGGAACCTTGACAGGTAGTGACGATAATTGTCTAGCCTAGAACTATACATGCTTTGAACCTGACGTCATCCCGACATTTCTACGGCCAGCACAAGAGCACTCCCCAATCAATGGGACTCTCTTTTGTGTGTCTCGGACATGGCTAGTCTCCCTCTACAAGATTATAGAAGATTAACCCGTCGCTCAAAATTCATGCAAAAGCAGCTTTGCAGTTAATTGCGGTGGCCGGATCGCTGGCATATTTCGACCGCTTCGGTGCCTGGAATGGCTAGGGCATCCTGACGACGTCAGCCTCGCCACAGCTTTGCTCATCCCGAGACAGACTACATCACGATTGTGCCGAATGTGATGCACTCTCCACTGGCTGCTCTCTGAGCGCTTGCTAGAGTGGGTTGTTTATAACAAAAAAAAAAAAAACGCCCATCAGGCTCAAAATACAAACGTGCAATTGTCATTTACGAATCTTGTGGATCATATTCAGCCTATTTCTGAACACAACGGGTATATTTAAAATTTCGTTGAAGTAGCCCTTTAAAAAAAGACTGAGACAGGAAAAAAGAAAGGGACAAAGTTTCAGACTTTACTGTGTTTGTCCCTTCCTTTTTCCCTGTCTCGTCTTTTTTTCAAAGTATGAACGTTCACCAGCTAGCCTGCGCCACAACCCTTATTTCCCCCTTGACTGTCTTAAATCATGTGACAACTGCCAGTAGAATACTGACTATTTTATTCTCCTGATATTTCGTGGAAGAGTAAAGCTATATGCGCACGTGCTTGTGCACCATGACGGGAAATGGCTATACAGACGGCGCGGTGAGCTCTTGCCATTAGGGTCACCCTTTTCGGACTGCGCGTGTATGTCTGGGGGGTGTGTTAAGCCCCCCCTCCCTCCTGCTACTTTGCAGCTGCTCATTACTAAACTATTAATCTACTTGGCCCCCCCCCCCCTCCCTGGCCCCCCCCCCCCCCCCCCCCCCGTACATGCTGCTTTGGTGCGTACAGGTGGCGGGGGACACCTTCGGAAAGGGAGTCTCATACCATTTAGATCAACAAAATTCGTCAGCAACAATCTCTTTTTTTTTTTCTCAGTGTTAATTGTAAAAAAATTGTAAATGTAAAGAAAAAAAAAGTAAGCCCATTTATTGGATTGAATCGGGGTCTGCTGTGTATGAAGCAGATTACCACTAAGCTACGCCATCGCTTCAGAAACTCGTTGCAACCATTCGTTTTATACGAGTTTCGTGTTGTGCGTATAGCCATTTCCGGTCGAGGTGCATGAGCTCCCACGTATAGCCTTACTCTTCATGGAAACACATTTCATGGACGTGCTCGCTAAAACATTGTTCGCCGCTTCACGGCGAAGGACGTTTTAGCGAACAGCAACGTTTTAATGGGGGCGCGTGTTAAGCCACGCCCCCACGCTGCGCTGAAGCCGCTTCACGGCGGCAGTCTGTGGCGGCTCATTAAAAAAATGTTAACCCACCTGAGCCCACCTGTACATGCCACTTCGAAGCGACAGTCTAGGGCGGCTTATTAGAGAAAAAAGCTAATCTGAATTGTCGACGGGCCAATGGGACGCATCGGGCAGCCAGTGGGATGGGACAACTGGTAGAATTCTTGGAAAAATTGTTCTGCCGGCTGCCGGCAGTATAGACACTGCCTTTTTAAAGCAGGACGTTTTGGCTACATTTTTGTCGGAACGAAGGCATAGGTGTGAGAGCTTTGTTGCACGAGCACTTTTGCAAGGTTTATAAAGTCGTGAGGCATGCACTCATTCTAGAGTTTGCCACAACGCTGCGCGTAGGCACCATATTAAGTACATGACGTTTTCCCACGTAACAGTGGGTTGTTCCAGTAGCATGTTTAACAGACCAAATCTTTGAAGAAGCAACAATCTATTTCAGACTTAGCAAAATGTCTGTGCGTAAGGCGCATTTCTCGTAAACTGACTTGTTGCCACGATATTGGATGGGCTCACTCGGACGAGTAATGATACTTCAGGAGACCAAAAAGACTACGTTATTGGGAGCTTTCCTAGGGTCCATGATTTTTAAACCACCCAGCCAGCACGGTTACAACTTATTGCCTGATTGTCAATCTTTAATGTCACAGCCTTATTTTTGACTCCCTTCTTGTTGCAGTAATAGCACAGCCTTTCAGTTTTGGCACACCGGCCACCCAAACCGGTGAGTGCTTTCTTCCTCCTCAGATTTTTATAGATTTTACACAGGGTGTTCGTGCCACTTCCGGCTGCCATGACAGGGGACAGAAATACTTCCAGTTCCCCTATGTTTACCTTGTGTTCACATAAGTGCACGACGTCTCTGGGTTCACTAGCGAGCGATTGCACGAGAGCTACGGTCTAGACATGCCCCAGTCTCATTCTTTTAAGTTGCCAACGTCGCAAGTGAACTTCTTTCGATTATCTTGAGGCGAGGAACTCTGCGAGTTTCAGCGAGTGCCACCGACAGCTGGCGCGACGCAACAAACGCAAAAATGCGGCGTCAGTGGCTCCTTGACCGACCATCTCCGTACAACGATAGGTGCCAACCGGGCCATTACGTCGCATATAAATACAAGCTGACATGGTGTTCGGGAAAGGAACCTTGAATACCAAAGTAAGCGAGGCAAAACAGGAAATTGGGCATTACAGATACTCTCATCAGCCTGAAGGAAGCGTAATAAAAATTTTCGGAAGATCGGTAGTCCGCTAAAATTGCGACCCAGCTCGGCGATCCGTGCAAGGAAGCTCGGCACACATCTTAGGCGCCTGGGGGAGGCAGTGCCCATTGCCGATGCCCTGCCGATCACAAAGTATAGGAACACACTTGAGAAGTTTTGAGCCCTTCTCAATTATATGAACAAGGCGGCCTGAATAGGTAGTCGTGAAGATGCACCCATAACATTTTCGGCAGATCTGTCTTTCTTTGAGGAACAAGCGCTCTTTCTTTTTACCCGTAAAATCAGAAAGGCGCGTCAACCTCGTTTAAGTAAATTTCGGTAGACTGCAGGGACTACAGTTCGACCTCAGCGGCGAGACTTTTAAAACTGCGCTAATCGCTGGGGGTTCTCAAAGAAAAGCAAACACAATAGCCAACCGGAAGCACCCTTCCCCCAGAAGTTTGGTCGCGTTAGTTTTTGCTTACTTCCGCTCAGCCTGCATGGGCCGATCTTGCTGGCCCGTCTCGCCATGCTGCAATGCAATGCGTCGAGTAAACTTCGGCCTTTCTGCATGCGCGACGACCCCGCTGCAGCTCAGGGACGGCCCCGAGCTGTCATCTGCACAGCCTCCTTCGGATTAAAGTTATTGTGGCGTCGCCGCGGTGCCTGAAATGCGTCTCCAGCCAAAGTGCTTGGCGTCCCGTTCCGCCCGTGCATTGGAAGTGTTCCCGAAGTGGCCACAAACTACGTCGTAGGAACCGCAGTGTCACGCTGTTGGGTGTCGCAGTGGGCGGGTGTGGAACTTCTGGAAAATAAGCAGTAGGGAATGCGAGCATCGGTATCATCGCATGTCCCAACTTGCGGCTGCCAGAGCTTCCGAGGACTGTCCCGCCGGAGGGCGACCTGCAGCAGAACGAACATCCGTCAAGTTCACCACTGCGGCTGGCGACGGCGTGACACTCCTGCGGCCGCGGCGGGCAGAAACAGAGAAACTGCTTTTTAAGACTCGGCAAACACGCCGGTCGGAGCAGGCTCTGTAGCTTCGAGCATGCTCCGAATGTTTCAGTGAAATCAGTCTGTTGGCACGTGAGGTTGGTGCATTGTCGCGTTTGCCGATGAAGGCGTCCGTTTCACGTAGGCATTGCCCAGCCCTTCTCTTTTGGGACCCAGGCGGCACAGGCTTCTACAACTCCGACAGGTACGCTTACGCCCAGATTACTGTACTGTCCGGTCTATAAGCCACATTTTTTTTTTGTTTCCCGTTCGTTGACGAGAACATTGAAACTTGCTCGCGCTTGCGCTTACGTTGCGAACGTGGTGCGCTGGCTTCTCGATGCAGTTTGGCCGTGCCGACCATACAAATACCTAAAGAAGTGTAACTTGTGCAAAGTTTCGATTTATGCTAACGTTTTATTTTCTGATGGGTAACTGCCATTTACGGGTAGGCGTGACTTGTAGACCGGAAACTACGGTGCACTTTCAAGGGCCACGGGCCTTTGGCCAGTTTAGTGCCGCAGAGACGGTCTCAGTGGAACATGCCTACCTTCTTTTGCTTTCAAGGTGTGGTGCAACCGTTCTCGTTTGGCGGCGCTGCAACGACGGCTCCTGCGGCCTCCGTGGGTTTGTTTCAATTTCTGCTCCCCTCTTTGCTTTTTACTTCTTTTGTTTGTGGTACAACATTTGACGTAGTGTCCATTTCTAAGGTCTGTCATCTGGCAAGTGTTAAGAAACTTTGTATCTTCACTTTTTTACTTTTTAGAAACATACACGTCTTCTGCCTTACGTGCCGTGTCTTTTCTTTATCTCCGCAGGCGTTTCCCAGCCTTTTGGTTTTGGATTGACAGCCACCAGGCCGCAAACAGGTGCGGCACCGTCTTACCTACTTGCAGCATGTTTGCAGCCTTACTTTTGGGAGATTGTAGCCGTCACATTTTTTTGGGATTGCTTATTCATCTACGGTGCTTGTTGGCAAGCCCACAAGGTCGTTTCACATACATGGTGTTTTCATTTTTGAGAGAAAGTATATTTTTCTTAAAGGACACATGCAAAGGAAAAAAACATTTTTTTTAGACAGCTTAGATGGAAAAAGGATGTCATAAAACGATTTTGCAACGAAGAAACAAAATTTTTAGAGCTATATTTACGGCGCTATACGAATTTGTAGTTGGCGCTCGCGGGAGCCGCCGCTGGTCACGTGGTAGGCCCGCGTGCCGCCGCGCTGTGTCGCCGCCGCACGCTGAGCGTTGTGCGAACGCCGCCGTCGCCGCTGCCGCACAAGTTCGCCTGCTTCGGGGCGCCGCCGCTGTCGTCTGACCGGCGCATAGGTCTATCACGTCTGCTTGCGCTTTTTCAGGAGTTTCCTTTGGGCTCTAAAAGTTACTTATTCGTCTTGCTTTTTTGTTATACTTCAAACAAAGATGAATAAGTTACTTTTAGAGGCCATAGGAAGCTTCCGAAAGAGCGCAAGCACCACGTGATAAATAAAGACCAGTCACGTGATAAATACGGACCACTTTTCCGCGATGCCCGCGGGCGCCAATTACAAATTCGTTTTGCGCCGTAAATATAGCTCTAAAACTTTTTTTTCTTCGTTGTAAAATCGTTTTATGGCGTCCTTTTTCCATCTAAGCCGTTTAAAAAAAATGTTTTTTTCCTTTGCATGTGTCCTTTAAAATAGCTGCAAATAAACTAATATGTGAGAAATTAACAGAAATTCACTGAATAATGTCAAAGGCCAGCCCAGTTTTTTTTAAAAACCTTGGATAGAGCACGCAGTTCGAGTCATTCAGTGTCGTATTTTATTCTGGGAATCCGTCTATATTGAAACCAGACGCGTGATTCGTAACGGAAGGACAACCCTCCTTTGACGCTGGAAAGTCACGTGCTAATGACGAAATAAGCATCACAGCGTGTTGAAGCATTCACTGTCCACGGAACATCAATTTCAGTCGGCTCCGGCGCACTGAGACTCGAAATAGTGTCGCATATTTTGTCATTAGCACATGATTCTTCAGCATCAAACAAGGGTTGTCCTCCCAGCGGGCATTGCGCGTTTGGTTTTGGTGTCGACGGATATTCGGAACAAAATTTGGCAATTAATAACTCGAACTGCATGCTAGATCAAGGATTTTTAAAAACTGGGCTGGCCTTCAATATTGATTGCTTCGATATCTTTAATATGAACGTGTATTCCGAAATGTCTAATTAAAAAGGTGATTAGTGAATTTTTGTCATTCATTAGTTGCATCCATCAGTCATCCATTAGTTTCATACTCTCTCGGACATAATGTCTGCCCGGCCGTATAACTCACTTGTGCAGACCATCTTTGTCTAACTCTGACGACTTTCTTTTTAGAAAAATATGTATTCTATCAAAAAGGACACCCCGTATGCATTGCGGGCCTAAATAACCGCTAGGAAAAGCGCTGTCTGGAATGTAGCTTCGCACTAATACAGTAGCGTATCAGTGCTGCATCACTAATATAGTGGGAAGTTGTTGCCATATTGCCAAGATGAGCGCTATTTTCAGCAATGACTAATGGTGCTAGGGTAACGCCATGATCTATGTGTGAACGGGCCTTCATAATCAGCGAGTTGACACTAAACATTGCATCCAATAAGCCCTTTTTGAAAATCAGTCTGGCAATTTTGATCACCATCATCACCTAGGTATATTGCATCCGTGCCAAACTAATGACTGCCTTGAGGCTGATGAAGGAAGAAGTCAGGATGCTACCAAGCGGGGGGGATATACGAGGGCTGTACATTCGAGACTCGAGTACAACAAATGAAGCACAAATTAGATACAACAACTGCGTAAGTGTTTATTTTGGAGTGTGGTCCAATCAATCTCTTTACACGAGTTTGACTTCAAGGCCTTCTGTGGTGGGAAATTTAGTCCTGACAGTTATGAGTTGCTGGTTTGCACTGCTTATCGAAACTGAAACAAAACGAGAAAGAATTATGATGTATTTGAAAATCCCGTTCTCATGTACCATTGACGTCAAAAGCGACTGTCTCCGATTAAGTACGGTTTCGCAATTGCCATTAGTTTGCTCAATGTGAAACTTCCTTTTGAGCCACCGGATGGTGCCAAATTTTGAAAAGGTTTAATTCTTTCCACATTTTCTTGTCAGGAGGTTTCAGCTTCGGCGCCACTCAGCCCACGACGACCCAGGCTGTCGCAGCGACGCAACAGAGCACGTTCGGAGGACTGGGTTCTGCCGCTGCTCCGACCGCGTCTGTGGCGCCGTTTTTCGGTGGCTTCGGAGCCACTGCCACGCCGGCTGCCTCCACCGTACCGGCATTTGGGAGCTTCGGATCCGTGCCTGTCGCGACCAGCTCCGCTGCTCCGACCGGATTCGGTGGCTTCGGAACGTCGACGGCTGTTGCTCCGACCAGTTTCGGCGGTTTCGGGGCGCCGGCCCCCACCCCGGCATCCACGGCTCCGACGGGCTTTGGCGGTTTCGGAACGCTTCCGGCGGCGGCCACCTCCGCCGCACCCGTGGGGTTCGGCGGCTTCGGAACGGCGACGTCCGTTGCCACGACGACGACAACATCGGCATCTCCATTCGGTGGACTCGGACTTAGTTCCGGCGTGACGATCACACCGGTTTCATCGTCTGCTCCGTCGACCGGTTTCGGAACTGCTACACCGAGTGTGTTTCCAGCAGCTCCAACCGGCAGTTTCGGCGTGCTGGCAACGACGGCTGCGACGCCATTTGCAGGCGGTTTTGGCGTTCCGACGGCAACTACTGCGGCTTCGGTCGTAGGTTTCGGCATGCCGGCAGCTACGACTGCGGCTGCAGTGTGCTCTGCCGTCACCTTGGTGACTGGCACAGCGATGCCTTTCGGTTCCACCCCTTCCGTGTCGACCGGGTTTGGCGGGTTTGGCATGGTGCCACAAGTGACCACCACGGCAACGACACCGGCGGCAGTGACACAGAGTGCTCCATCCCTTCCAATTGCTTTCGGTGAGTTTTCACCTTTACATTTCAAGATTTTCAGGCTTTGTCTTTGGCATATTGCCTCCCGGATTAAGCTGGCTACAACTGCCCGTGTCTTGGTGCTTCTTGTAAGCCTTCATAGAACTATAATTAGGTGGTGGAAGCATACTGATAATGTTTTACCATGTGCCATGGCCTTGGTCAGAAGATAAATAATTCTGAGCATTCTTACCCCATGCACAGTTAGCATGGAGGGACAGTTACCGTTTTCCTTTTTTGTATCTTTTGTCTTGCAACTGAATTCATACTCGATTCTATCACAAAGGCCTTAGTAAAAGAAAAATTGGGCTTTTTGTAGAGCGTTAATGATTTCCCCCTTTATATTCTGAATAAAACTACTCCTTGTATGTACATTTAAAATACATTTTTTGTCTGCAAAATAGTCTGGTTTTTAAGCATACTTATTATAAGTGTAGTTTTTTCTCTCTCTCTCGCACAACCTAACTTTATAAGAACTACTTTGTGCTGCGTGTGAAGTGTGCGCAAAACTCACCTTTATCTCGAGGGGACTTTGAGAAGCGGTAAATCTGGGAGGTCACCAGCGCCCTCTCTTATTAAATCCTGTAATTTCTTCGTCGCCGTGTTTGTGCTAACTGTGTCAGTAGGCACTTGAAGGCTATGTATGTCTAACTTGTTCCTACCCAGGGTCCTACCCAGGGATGTCCCAATGGGACATGATCACATTAATTTTCTTGCTGTGGTCAATAGAAGCCTTGCTACAAAGTCCCTAAATTCAAGTTTCTAAATTTAACCAAAGGAATGGTTGACTTCATAGACATCTCAAATGTGTAATCTTTTCTGTGCATCATAATTAAGGCAATCTCACTGTTCTTGAGCACATAAGATGAACTGATAAGATGATGATGACAATGATGATACATAAGTCTTTACTGCCTACACTTCATCTCGCAAGTGGCCTGCAGTATACTGTTAGAGGCGCGAACCTAACTGAATGCTTCGTTTGTGTGGGTGCCCGAGCAAAGAAGGCACCTTCTGAGGCCACGCGCTCATGACTATGCCTTCCAGGTTACTGTGTAATGTGGAGAAATATAATTACTATAGTTTGTTTCAGGCTAAAGAGGAGCTCCGGTGCAATCTTGATATTTACGGATTTCCCTCAGAATTGGTTCAACACGTGAATAAACGCTTCTGAACGAGCAATCCTAATTGCAAATCACAATCTGTATTGAAGTTTTATGTTTGGTTTGGGAGGTGCCAAGATTCTCCACTGACAGCATTGTAAATGCGATGTCAGATGTGCTCAAGATGTACACTATTATGCATGAAATATGAGGTTCAGGTGAGTTTAGAGACCCAGCAGAGGAGTGTGGGCAGACTGATGCTGGGGGCTCATGAGATACTCCATATGGAGGAGTGCAGAGACATGGGCTGGGAATCCTTGGAGGCTAGAGAGACAAGTGCTGGGGCAGAGCAGACTACTACCTCTGTGGAAAAGGCAGTAAAAGAAGCCGAGAGAAAAATATGGGAGGAAAGAATGCAGGGAAAACATAATCCCCGATTTGCCTGAAAATTTGCCAAATACAATGTCAAACATCGCTGAAATACGTATCCCAAATATTAGGTCAAATTATGGTTTCTACAGGAAGTTATTTAATGACAATTTTGGTCCTCACCGTGTTTTTCAAACTGAGAGTCTCTACTGGCAGCAATGAAAAAGTGACGCCATCGGAAGGCTACGGTTCACTTTTTGGACTGTAGAATTTGTTCCTAACTGATTCCAAGCAGTGTCATGGCGTCAAATGAATGCTTTGGAACCTCGCTTCAGTACCCATGCACCAGGACGAAACAACTGCTTAGAAACAACTGCTTAAAAATTAATACTGATAAAACTAAAGCTATTATTTTTCGACCCAAGAATAAATGTGTTACTCTAAAGAGCAGCAATCGTGCTTGACTCTATGCCAATTGACATCATTAGTAATATCAAAAGACAGTAAAACACTCCCAGTTAATGTGAAGCTATTAATTTACAATTATTTATTCTATTCTCATCTGAGTTACTGCAACCTCGTGGGGTAACACCACATTCACAAATTTGCAAAAATTATTTTTACTGCAGAAAAAAATGATTAGAATATAGTATGCAACCTGCCTTATGATTTCCATACAGGCAGTTTGTTTAAGAGGTTTAGCTTATTAAAAATTGATAGTCTTTATGTATACAGATTGATACTGAGTTTAAAATAAAAACAAGAAACATAACTCGCTGTCCAACGTAGTGGCATGGACACCAAATCAACACAATCACTTAACTAGACACATGGAGTATTGGAAGGTTGTCTACTGTTCTACTAACTATGGTACGCAAATGTTGCGATATACCATACCAAAAGTTTTAAATTTCCTTCTAGAAAAAGAAGTTTGCATTGACACTATCTCCTTCAAGGCTTTGCATTTTTTTATCTGTAGCAGTGATTCACCTCCTTCACTCGATTGATTCTTTAAATTTGTTAATTCTATATAAAGTGCGCTCTTGTGTGTTTTTTGGATTCTTCGTCTGCAAGGACTGTGCTTGCAACTGTTTAGGTGATTAATGACTGTCTTGTAATTTCGTGCACACTTTTGCTGCAATGCCATTGTACGGGGCCGTGGGCGGGTCAAGCCTCCTTTCAGGCTTTTACTTTTTGCTCCACCATGCTTCATGGAAATAAACTATTGTTATTATTATTGTTATTAATAATAAATGTTCAAAAGGTTTTAGTGGTTTATTTTTACAAGAACAGAAAAGCTATCCATAAAAAGTGAAAGTGATAAAGTAAGACAAATCGGTACTTAGTAATAAAGGTCATAGAGCAAACATTATTTGCTATTCATCCTTATAGATAGCATTTCTACAAGTTGGACAAATAATACAACTAAAAGATTTGCATACCATAGTTTAAAAAAAGAATATTGGCAGTTAAAGGGTTAAAAAAAAGCAGTACAAGCTTCTGCCCCAAAAGCTCTCTGATAACGTTAGGTGGATGGTTGTTAATGGCTGTCCCCTTTAAAATGGGCAATAGTTTGTGCCATTTAGGCTGAAAACCAAAAAACACGATTCCTCCCTCCTGCCCTCTTTGGCTTTTTTTTCTCCCTATGCATTTTTGTAACTATCAACATACCGTATTTACTCGCACAATGAACGCACTCGCGTAATGAACGCACCCCCCAAGTCGGCTCTCAAAATTTCGACTTTTTTTTTCACTCGCGTAATAAACGCACCCCCAACTCGGACGTCAAAATTTTGACCCCCTCCCCCCACGAGCGCGAAATGAACGCACTTTTCTATCCTGGTGCAACGAGTTCGCTAATGCATGGGCAGCGTGGGCGAACAAAGCGCCTTGCCAAAGGCGTTAAAAAAATCGCAAAGATCTAACGGAAGCAAGAAGCAAAACATAAAAAGGAGCTCTTTTTTTTTTTTTTTTTTGCACAGCGCAGTTTGGATTTAGGGTTCGCGGGCCGCCGCGCGCAAGGATGTAAGAAAGAGAAGCGGAGAAGCGCTCTAAGCAAACGAAACAGCTCGCGAAAGGCGGCAAAAAAAAAAAAAAAAAAAACACAACTAAAAGAAAACAAAAAGGTTTTTTTTTTCTTTTTTTGCACAGCGCAGTTTGGTTACGGGGGGTCGTGCGCCGCGCGCAAGGAGGTAAGAAAGAGGAGCAGAGAAGCCCTCTAAGCAAACGAAACAGCTTGCGAAAAGCTGCAAGTAAAAAAAAAAAAAAAAGAATAAGAAAAACAACCAGGGAACTGAAAACAAAAGAAAAAGAGCTTTTTTTTTTTTTTCTTTTGCACAGCGCAGTTCGGTTATGGGTGTCGAACTGAAAACAAAAGAAAAAGCTTTTTTTTTTCTTTTGCACAGCGCAGTTCGGTTATGGGTGTCGTGCGTCGCGCGCACGGAAATAAGAAAGATAAGCGGAGAGCCCTCGCCTAAGCAGACAAAACAACTTGCGAAAGGTGGCAAAAAATAGAAACAAGGAACTAAAAAAAAGAAAACGAAGAGGATTTTTTTTTTTGCACAGCTTAGTTTGGTTACGGGACCGGGCGCCGCGCGCAAAGAGATAAGAAGTTACTTCGATCTCTCAGGATGAAAGGTCCGTTCATTATGGGAGTATGGGAGTAAATACGGACGCAAAAATTTTACTTCGCGTAATGAACGCCCCCCCTAACTTTGCATCGATTTTTCAGAAAAAAAAGTGTGTTCATTCTGCGAGTAAATACAATTGGTGGTCTCCTCTCCAGCATTTGCTCTTCTGAAGTGGAAAGAATGGAAGGCTTCTTAATCTGCAACAGATCGTACATCCATTCCAGACATGACAGTGGGAATTAATGATAGAACATACCTTCCTCTGCTTCGATGCCACGTTTGCTGACTTCGCGTGACAATGATAAAATGAGCAAACGAAAAAAGTCAAGTTAAGGTGCTGGAAAAGGAAACTGCAGCACCATGCTGAGCTTACGTCCTTCAAATGTTTCGTTTCAGGTTCAGCGACCACAACGGCTGCCGTCACAACCGGCACGGCAACGACGACGGTGGCAGCAGTGGCAACCACAACGGCCGCTTCCCTCTTTGGTAGCCTCGGCGCCACGTCGGCACCAACCACGACGGCGACAACTGTTCCGAGCTTTGCCGGGTTCGGCGCCACCACGACCACTCCCCTGGCAACCGTGGCTAGCACTGCCTCCACCACCACGACCGCGACAACGGCCACGGCCACGACGACATCTGCAACTTCCCTTTTCGGGGGGATTCCGTTCAAGGCCGGGGCACCGGGGCTCCCCGGGTTTGGGCAGACAACGACAACCACCTCCACGGGCCTGTCTCTCGGTGAGAACACACGGAAACACCAGCTAGGTGCCTTGATGGCTCTGGGGCAAGGCGCCGACCTACAGGTTGCAGTTTCTAATACCCAGGTAGCAGGTTCGAATCACAGGGTAGCGGGTTTGAATCCCCATGTAGTGGGTTCAGATCCCCGGGTTGCTGGTTCGAATTCTGGCCGAGGTGGCTGCATCCCGACGGTGGCTCGTTGTGGGGAAGGGGTCTTATAACCGAGATTTCAGTTGCACGACGCCTTTTTCGCATCTCCAGTGTGTGTGCTTAGCGTTCCGTCCCGCCCATACGTCGAAAGCGGTCCCGAAGTAGTAACAGGCGATGTTGCGAAAGCCGGAGCGTTGCGTCATCAAACGTCGTGGTCCTGGCAGTCGGGGCTAGAAGTCCCGGTAAAAAGTAGGAGCGGACGTGAGCGTCGCCGTCATTGCGGAGTCCCGACTCGTGGCTGCCAAAGCTTTTGTGAACCGTCAAGCCGGAGAGCGACCCACAGCACAACGGACGTCTGCCACGTGCGCCACCGCCGCTGTGACGCTGCCATGACCACGGCCTGGGACGACGCGATGCTTCTCCAACGTCGTCGGGTGGATGTCGAGGGTTCACGTTTTAGGACTCGGTAGATATGCCAGTTGGAGATGTGTTTTGGACGCCATAAAAGATGCTAGCCTTTGAGAAAACGGTTCTTTGCTGTTGGTACAGGCAGCCTGAGTGCGACGAGTGCTACGGGCTTCGGGCAGACCACGACACCGTCTGTAGCCGCCCCGGTGACGTCCACGACGACAGGTCTCGGCGGAGTGGACATCCTGCCAGCATCCAGTCTTCCAGGTTGGTCCCGTTTCTCGCTCGACTAGCGACACCCGCATCATATGGGCAAATCTAGTGTATCTTTTTTACATATGACGCCTGCCCTTAAAGAGATGTTAAACTCCCTAAAAAAGGTTTTTTTTGTTTAAAACGCGTGGATAGGATGTATATCGCAAAATGACCCCCCCCCCCCCCCTCCAATGCCAGAAAAAATTAAAACAGTTTTGGTTCAATATTTGTGTTACGAGAGTCGTTTTGATGAAGGGTTAGCTTGAACTTGAGGAAGCAGACAAAGAAAGAATGGAACAGGTTGAACCAGCTGGCTCGCACCTTTTCTTTAGTCCACTTCTTCAAACGTGTAATCCTCTTCTTCACAGGCTTCTCACGTATACATAAAATAAACACCAATGTGTACCAACTAGTAGCTGCGAGTCATTTTTGGATTATGGAGCGGTTCTCGAAATATGTTCCTATTTTTGAGATGTTGACCTCAAAGTAGAAGCATCTTTCAGAGTCTCGCAATGAGCCTTGCAACGTATGCATTTTAATAAGAATATTTTGAAGGGGGGAGGTTAATGCTTTATGAGAGTTCAGTGTCTTCAGAAAAACGCTACACTAAACGCAAAGTTCTCACAGCGTGGGCACTGCTCTTTTCATGACGGTGGCCACATTTGCAGCAGCCCGAATTTGATATGCAATTTGTTAATTGGGGCAACAATGACTCGCAAGGCGCTTTTAATAAGAATACATAAATATTTAGCAAGAAATTTTGGCACATTTCTCAAATTTTTTGCGTCGACTGTTTTATCCGATGTCATTGGCATTATTTCTGAATGATGCCTTTTGCTTACCCAGTAGCACCTTGTGGTGAAAGTGACGTTCGATGAGCTAAATGGCTCTCACTGAAAATGACGTTAAATTTGCCCTCCTTTTTTGTTGTAAGCAGCAGTTTGTAAGAGTGCCACATTTTTTCTTGCAGGGTCAGCTGCTACTGGGAAATCGTAAGTTCTCTGCGGTTTTCTTAACGCGTCGACAGGCTCTTGGATCGACATCAACTCAGCCATGCATTTGGGAAGAAAATAATTAAACCAAATAACTCTATTGCGCATCCGCATATAGAGGTGCCAGAGCCACGGACAACAAGCCAACTTTTGTTGGCTTGTTGTGACCGAGGCCCCGAGCGCTTGGCAGACAGTCACACGGATGTGGAAATATAAAGAAAAAAAACATGCATTTGTTCCATCCAATCGGTTTTGCAGGACAATTGTGTTGTGTGTGCGTATATAGACAGTAGAAAGTTATTCGGCCCCAATGTGCATCTGGTGTCTTCCCTGCAGAGGAGAAATTTTGCCGTGTGCGGCTGTGGTACTACACTAGAGAAAAAGAATAGTGCTAAGGTCAGGTGCACACTGCTGTAGTCGGATCGATCTGTTTTTCGGTGCGTCCCCGCGCAGTCCCAGTAGCGTCAGTGTCGTGTAACTAGCATCAAGTTTATTGTGGCATCCTTTGCAGTGACAAGGCGGTGAAGGAAGCCTGCCTCCCCAACGAGATCTCGCAAACAGTGGACGCCTTCAAGTAGGTCTCTCTCTCTCTATTGTGTGGACGCAGAGATGGTGCATATAAGCGTAACAAAGGCCTTGCCTTGGGGAAAGTTTTGTCGAAACAAATTGGAGGCAGTGAGTGTACGCGAAACTATCAGGAAACATTTGTTAATGTTCCTGGATTAAACACGAAAATCACAAAAAAGGTTCTGGGAGGGGGGGGGGGCGGGGGGGGAAAAGAAGGGGGGGCCCCTGAAAAAAAAATAAAAAAATAGACTAGGTTGAAAAGGGGACAGGACAAACCCAAAGTCTTGAGAGCAGTCGAAAATTATTTGACAGGTAGTCCAACCTGTTGTTACACTTGTTTCTAAAATTCCAAAACCCGCCTCTGTTTTGGGGCCGACATCTCCAAATGGGAGCATTCTTACGAATCGCTCGCAACTCGAAACGAGGCTCGCAATCTAAGTCTTGCGCTATAAATTTCTTTTTTTTTTTTCGTAAAAGGGGGGGGGGGGGGACAACTTTATTTTGTAACTGAATGTTCTATCTAAGCACTAAAAAAAAAAAAAAAGATGGGGGGGGGGGGGGGGGAGTTTGCTTTAAAGCATATTTCAATAATGTCACTGTGCAGGGATTAGTGGCCACAATCGTGACTAGCTCCTTGTAGCATATTTTTTCCCGTCAGTTAGAATCCCACGGACGCTTGCACCTTTGGACAGTGCTTCGATTTCTCAACTGTGGCGAGAATCGGTTGCGGCTTATGCCCACCTTTCTTCGTAGGAAGTATGTGACGGAGCAGAAAGAAATCCGCGAGGAGATCTCCAGGGTCTCCTCCCGCACCATCGCCAAAGTGCAAGAGGAGACCGGTGCGCTTCGCCAACTCCTCTCTGCCGTGGAGAGCGGCGTCCAGCGCAACGGCGTCTCCGTGGAGCGCCTCAAACGGGAAACGTCCGAGGTGAGGCACTTCTCTGTCGTCGCGTGACTTTTTGGCATCCGTCGTGCGGTGCCTCGCGGCTAGTCCTCACACTTGCGTTCGAGTTGCCGAGAATGTCTTGACCGCTTACGGCAAGTGTAGAGTACGAGGGGGCAGAAAGCTGGGCGAGTTGGTTGACCACCTTTCAAGGTAAAACGGTGCAATAAAAATCTATGGTAAATTGATGGGAAGTTTTGTTGCGTACGTGAAACGTTCTAGCATCGCAAACTTCTATATCGTCTTTCTGCAGCACGTCCGGCCGGTTCAGCCAGACGCCTACGTTTGCGACGCTTTTCGTCAAGTAATTTAACGCGTGGCGTGTCTAGACTTGAAATGATACACCTGGTAATCTTCCAGAACCTCCTAACCCACTCCTCCTCTGCCTCCTCGCCTACCTCTCCCCCTCACTCCAACCCTGGTTGCGTGACCTCCCTGTTAGCGTCAAGCACCTCGCTTCTCCTCTCCCACCCGTCGGCCAATCACTTTCGAGCCTCGCAGCCACTCTTTCATCCGGGCTTCATTTTTGGCCTTCACGAAATGCCGAACACATAGCCAAAAAATTTTTCAATTAAAAAAAAAAAAAAAAATAGAGACACAAAAAACAAGACGTTATGCAGCGCTGTGTGCCTTGTTTCTTGTCCTTTTTTTTTTAGAGCGCAGCTCTTGGGTTCCATTTTCCAGATTGAGCTGCGTCGGCATAACCAGACGTTGCATTATGGGACGATTCCCATAATGACATCATGTGTTACGTCACGAGAGTAAAATTTTCCCTCTAAATTTGGCAGGAAAATGTTTAGCTAAATTTGGCAAGGAATTCTTGCTAAATTTAGCGGGACATTTCCTATAATGACGTTGCACATGAATTTTCCCGTAACACGTTACGTGACATCACACGTAAAGTTGACGTGTGATGTTGCACATGACGTCGCATGTCAATTCAGCAAGAAAATTTCCCCGCTAAATTTAGCGAAACATTTTCGCGATAAATTTAGCAGAAAACTTTCCCAGCTAAGTTTAGCGGGGAATATTTTCTGCCAAATCTAGTGGGGAAATTTTTCGGCTAAATTTAGCGGGGAAACTTTTCTGCTAAATTAAGCGGGGAAATCGAAAGCGGGAACGCTTATGATTTCTTCGATTTTTAGATGGTATAATACAATGGATAGGAGTGCAAGTGGCTAGCTTCAGGTCGAGCTTCCGAGTGAGATTTTCCACTGGTGTGATATTAAAGTAAAGCGGGATTTACGTCATAGTTGATATCTCTCATATTCGTCCATGACCAGCATCCACAAGCCGGGGCTCACGTACGCTGTCAGCGCCGTATCCAGTTCTCGATAAACGCTCCCACATCATCGTCACAGGAAAACAAACAATACGTTTTCCACCTTTTTTTGCTGCCACAACAAATCTTTGGTAAGGCTAAAATTGTAGATGAATACTGTGCAACATTTATTTCTTTTTCCACGAAAATATTGCGACCAGAATGCCAAACACCGATGCTGAAAATACCGGTATTCGGCGATCACAGGACCCAAGCTTTCTTGTTTGCTACTGCCACCTTCTCCGTTATCTTTACCTTTGATTGGTGTCTCTCGCGTAGAAGTGCATTCGCGTTACAACAAAGAATCATAGTCGTTGGGTAGCAAAGTTTTCACAGTGGTCTTTGCACCCCAGCCTTCCTATGTCCCATTCTAGGGGCTCAGTGAGGTAGCTAAAAGTGTGTTTATTTTTGCTCGAAATAGATAACAGAAGTTTCATGAGATCGATAAAATAACATTATTATGAATTTATTTTAAGCACAACTGCAGCGTCATGAAACGAGTAGTTAAAGCAAATCTAAATAAATGAGCTCATATAAACACGTCTTCAAGGATGTTGCAGTATCAGGTGCTGCAGCATGCACAAATGAACTTGTTTCACATAGACAACGAGATTGTCTCACTGTTTGTACATTGTTGCTGCAAAGCTGTAGCAGTTACTGTGAAATAACGGCCCTTCTGTGTGCCGCACATTCCCACGTAAACCTCTAAAGTATATATACACACAAATTCACGCTGATCAGCCGATCGGAAGTGATGTCTTGAAATTCGTACCCCTTAGTCGCCCGTCTCTGAAACGGCACGCACGCGCAAGGAACAGAGGCTGTCACACATGTTAAGAACACACGAGAGAAATAACTCGGCCGTTTTCACCATCTCTGATGTTTTATAGTCCGTTGCAACTCAAGCAGGTAGGGCGAGGGAAAGAAAGTCGAGGGAGGGGGAAGCGGAGGGAACGCTGGAGAAGAGAGGGGGAAACCTTCTTTTTTCTTTAGCGTTCCGTCTGCTTCGTCCTCCTCGGCCTTCTTTTCCCTTGCCCTACCTTCTTCAGTTGCAACGGACTATAGTACATAGTAGGCCTTGACGTAATTGAATACGAAATGCAAAAACAGCCCGCTTCCTTCAAATGACGAAGACGTCTTCATATTGGAATTCTTCCCTAATGCGGCTTTAGAATGTCTGCAGCTGTTTGCACTTGACCTTCTGACACCAGAAGTTCAAGTGGAAACAGTGTTCTGTCTTTTGACACCAGAAGACAGAACACCAGAAGAGGGAAGTTCACTGTAGGTATTTTAGTCCACAAACGACCAAAACACAGCGGTCCATGTGCCGGAAACCACAAACTATAGACGCAGCCATTTCTCCGAGCTGCTTGCCTCGGTGCCGAATGTTGGAAAACTGCCAAGACTACGAAGGCCCGGCGGGCGTGAATTTAGCTCGAAAGTCCCAGGAAATGTTGAGTCAATGCGAACATTATCACACTGGCAACGATCGTTGGTAATACACTTCGTGAACCCGTGCAAGAACTTTGTGTTTCACGGCGTATCCATGGGTACCGAGGCCAACCAGACCGAATGGGTTGTGCAGGCTACGACACGAGCGCCGCTTTGCAACAGTGAATGGGCGCGTTAGGTCGGCGCTCTTTTACTCCTACTCAGACGCTCCGAGTTCTGTACTCCGAGCGCAGCAACTAAACGACGGATAGATTACAGGAGCGCGACACACTGAGGCTGTGTTCCAAACGTAATCGATTGGATCCGAGTTACCCTGGCGTATTATGTCACGTGACAACAAAAATAGAGAAACGCTGGACGCGGGTAGGTTTTTGATAACCACCTTTACCCTAGAGTTAGATCGAGTAAGTTTTGGAACACGGCCAGAAACTATCGACGGGCCACACGAGCTGCTTCCGACCGTGGATACGGGTGGCGGAAGCCGAAAATATTTTGAAGATAAATAATTAGGCTTGTAAAAAGTCTAAAGCTTCCTACACCGTGGTCTAAAGCAAAAGATACGGCGACGTTATGAAGTTTCTACGAACGTTTTAATAATCCTGAAAGGTTTAAAGACTCGCTTCGTGCACATATATGGAAGGTTACCTTGGCCAATCTATTTATTGACCATGCATGCTGTTCCGACTTAAATTAAAGACAACATTCTTGAACCCGCTCGTCGATGCAGGAAACCCTCAAATTTGTCGGATTCCCTGGTTCCGTCGGTTCCGTCTCGCAGCAAGACGGATGCTACGCCGATACTGGCACACCGTCGTTATATAGCACATCAATTCGTTTTTAGGTGGTATGCATGAACAAACCTTTCCCGCAACGCTAACTGGTGTTTTGGCTTTCCAGTCTAAGTATCTTTATTCGCTGCAGCTGGACTAAGCATTCAAAGCAGGGCAGCGGTCTGACTGTCTTTTCATCGCAACTTTTCTGCCGCTGAGCTATCGGCACGCTCGTTCGATAGATCAATTCGTTTTCACGCAAGACGCACGAACAAACCTCTTTCGGAACGCTAATTGCTGTCTTGGCTTTCAAATCAAATCGTTTTTACCCACCGGATTATGCATTAATCATCTGAAAAGGGGCAGCTGTTTGGCTGAATGCTGGTCCGAATTAAAATCAAACACCCCATACATTTCCTAATCTTTCAGATGTAACAGCATCTCTTTTGGCATATGCTTAAGCAGGCTTTTTGCATATTGATATATAGTGAAGACACTGATGTGGAAATAATTTCTCCCACAAATTCTATTGTCACTGTGGAGAGCTTTTACTGTAGTATGTGCATATTTCATATTGTATTCAGTATTCAAAGGCAGTTTCTCACACTTTTTTTTTTTTTTTTTCGTTTTATTTGTATACTTGAGAATTTTGGCATTTTGACGTGCTCCAACTTCTTTTCTGATGCTCTGTCTGGCAGGATCTGAAACATGCTGAAATAGCACATCACACCAAGGAAACGCCAGTCGCCCTGCAATACGAGAACACTGCCCCAACACTGTAAGTAACCTTTCACCTATAATATGGTTCTTCCACCTATGCCACGTGACTGTCATGCGTATCATGTGACTTTCTCCAGCAGTGCTGTGCTGGTTGTCACTGGTGGTTTCTGATTGCAGCTATGTTATGTTCGCGCTTTTCCCGTGAACAGCAGTCGTTCTCGCCAAAAAAGCCTAGTGCTTGGAGTAATTCTAATGTCCTGTTTATGAGCTCTGGCTGTTCTAAGAAGACCTGTGTGAATATAAAATGTTTAACTTCAAATTGATTAGCAATATTAAAAATTGACTGCAAGCAGGGTGGGCGGCAGTGGCTTCGCCGCCTACCGCTCCAACTAACCGCCCACCACTTGATTTTTTTTTTTTATGTCGCGGGATGACTTTGCGATTTTGCCTGTGCACATGGCTGCAGACCATTGCTGTCGTACTAAGCAGGTTCGCACACTGCCACGTTACCGTTTGCTATCGCATCGCTGACTGCTGCCACTGTCACACTGCTTCAAACGCTCCTCGACCTAAAGTTGCGTCAGCTTCTGTGCTTTTTGCTCGGCGTTTCTCCCGCCCCAGATAATAAACCTCCAAAGCAATTACAAACAAAAAAATATCAAGGTGCAGGCGAGCTGGTGTATGTTGATCAAGATGCAAAATCCCGAGACTGGGAATGAAATTCGCAAGAAATAGTGCAAGAAGAAAGAAAAAAGGGGACAGGACAACGTCTCAAACTTAACTGAGTTGAGTTTGAGACCTTGTCCTGAGCTGAGTTTTCAGCTAAGATGAGTTTAAGACGTTGTCCTGAGCTGAGTTTGAGACGTTGTCCTGTCCCTTCTTTTCTGTCTTCTTACACTTTTTCTTTCAAATTTCATTCCCAGAGCTGAGTTTGAGACGTTGGCCTGTCCCCTTTTTTCTGTCTTCTTCCACGTTTTCTTTCAAATCTCATTCCCAGTCTCAGGATTTTGCATCATGTACAAACTAAACCTATATGTCAGCATCACTCGTGCGGCGTTCGATCGGATTACTATACCCGCGTGCAAGGGGGTAGGGGGGCAGTTTGCCAGATCACTTGAAGTGTTTTCTGAGCCTCAACCACCTGCCTGCACCTGGCCATTTTGAACTGGATGAGTATCGTTAAACAGTGCGTTCGTAGGATCACTACTTCGCGATTCACGTTAATGAGCGCCCCGGGCTGGTGGTCACAATTACTGATCTATTGTTACACGTCACTGCACTAACAAGTATTCCAGCTCATCCGGGACACTTGTCGTCTCATTTAATTGCCTGACCAACTTCGCGCAGTCTAAATATCACACCCGAACTTTTCTAAACCTGATTTCGTGAAAAGTAGTGAAGCGTGAAAACGTTGTTTGAAACTGAAACTGGGGGGTGGCGGAACATGAAAACCGGACTTCGAACTTTGCGCACTTAAACTTCAAAAAATTAAAAACCTTCGATTTTTTTTTTTTTTTTGTATTTAGTTTTAAAAAAAGAGAATCAAAACCTTTGAACTTTTCGAACTTTATGCAGAAAAAAAATCAAAATATTTGAATTTATCGAACTTCATCTTTTTAAAAATTCGAAACGTTCAAATTTTTCGAATTTATCCCAAGAAATTCGAAACATTCGAATCTCTCAAATTTCAAATTAGGGAAGTTCGAAATCTTTGAATTTATCGAACCTCAAGTAAACAAATATTCGAAATAATCGAACCCGAACTTTTAGAAACCGTGAAAGCTTCAAACTTTTCGAATTCGAAACCCCACGATTTTAGAAAGCTGCAAATTTTTTTAATTGGAACCTTTGTACAGTTGAAAATATTGAATCCTTTCGAATTCGAACATAAGTTCAGTTCGAAAATATCGAAACCTTTCGAATTCGAACTTAGGGTGGTTCGCGGCATCCCTAGTTGAAGGGCACAGGCTACTAGCTGTTGTCGAGGGGGTCTGACCTTTGTCAGTGGTTGAACGTGCTCTCAACTTGGTTTGCCTTTCAGTTACTTCCAGAAGCTTGTGACCAGCTTTGGCCAACAGATGAAGCTGTACAAGCAGCAGATTGAGGAGCTCGAGCAGCACTTTGCTTCGTTGTCCAGCACTTCGGTTCTCGCGCCAGAAGGTGACCTTGATTTTTCTCATTCGTCTTGTACCATAGCACTGGAAAGCACAAAGGCATTTACACCATAGAGCAGCCTCCGCTTGATCCGACAAATGCTTCGGCCACCCAATCCTCGCGTGAAGGGCTTAGAGCGCCGATCGGATATCAAACGCTTGCCCACGAGATCCAAGTGAGGCTCTGGCATGGACGGGAATGCGTGGTATATTTTCATGGACCTTGCCAGAACGAACACTGCGTAGGCCCATGGCACACACCTCGGAGGCATTCAGCTCGCTGTAGGGGTGCGACGGCCGAAGAACCTTGTGGCAAGTCGCCGGCAAATACACCATCCCAACAGCCAGGTTGAGACCGAGCTAACGACGACGCGAGGCTCTCCCATTACAAGCTCAATACAGCTGATGCCGTAAAAGTATTGAGTAACTTTCTCAATACTTTGAATGTGTTGTTTTTCTGCAGCAGTAGTTGCCTTTCACTATTTCCTGTCGGGGCAGCTTTTTTTAATTTTCTCATTGTCGCTTTTTTGTTAAAGTCACAGGTGCGAGCTGGGGATGAAAACCAAATAGAATAACTTGTGTTGTACACGCTCCTCTTTGGAAGCAACTAAGTGTCATTACTGTTCACTCCATCAAAAAGTATGCTCGTTCTTCTGTCGAAAAGTAACCAAGTTGTTATTGCCTCACTAGAAAAAAATGACCGCATCTCCCCGTGGTGAACGTTGTTGATTGGGGCGAAGCTCGGGTGGTGCTGATGATACTGATTTTGGTCGTAGGTAGTGCTGATGGTGCCGTTTTCATTCATGTCAGTATAAGAATGTGAGGTTTTCTTCTTTTAAGAAGACAGATAAAATGGCATCTCAAAACCCCTATTTTTTTTTTTTTCTATCTTTTTTTAAATTTTTTTTTCTTGCTCTCGCTGCTGAACTCTTGAGCAGGAGCTCGTGAGCTCCTGCTTGTGAGCTCCTGCTCGTGAGCTCACGAGCAGGGGCACGCCGGACGGACATACGGACATGGCTAGCCCCTAAGGAGCTTCGCCCCTAAAATTGAGTGATAGAAGTAACGCGTTGCTTGTGGCGTGCTGCATACAACTCTGGCTGTGACTGTGTTTCTTGATTTGCCTCGTGATTCCAGACCTGATCACCATGGTGAATAAGCTGCACCAGACATTCACGTTCCTGGCTGCCCAGCTTTATTCCCTTCACGAGGCTGTTCAGGTGAGGGGGCCTGACTTGACTAGAACCTTGGTAGGTGGCACATCGAGGAGGACACATTGTCTGGCGCGTTTTGCATGGCAAACCTCTGTTTCCTTCTCTTGTCTCTCGTAGTACAGCAAACCCCCCCCCCCCCCCCCAAACTTTTTTTCTGGTGTTTTATTTATTGCAAAAATAAACTATGCGTCGCCACATGCTCATTTTCTGCCGAAATATAGCGATAGCGGTCTGTACCGGATGCCAAACTTCCAGAATGACCCTTTATCTCATTCAAAAGTTATAAGTGAATTTCTGAAAATTTGAACTGAGTAAGTGGGGCCCCTTTTTACATGTTTTCGGTAACTAGTAGCATTATTCGGCTCCACATGTTTGAGAGCCCCATCAACCGCTGTTTTCCCATTAAAAAAAATTGCTTGTGTTTTGCTTTTTTGTATAAGTATTAATCCAACACGCCCATTAAACTCATCAGTTATAACTAGGGTTTTGTGTTTTCGGATAAATTTGATAAACTCCGAGAAACCCTCGCCGGTAAAATTTTAGACAATTTGGGTTTATCAGAAAAAAACTGTTTTTCGAAGTCGCACGGCAAAGTAAAAAAAACAAAACAGAAAAGACTATTTTTTTAACAAAGTTTGTGAGAGCACAGAGTTGGTAGTCCTGAAAAAAAGCCAATTCAGTTTTTTTTTTTTTTCTTTTTTGATCTTGGTCTATTAGCAAAATGGAGTTTCCAGTTTATCTCGTCAAGGTTAGTTCAGCACAATCGGCCAATGTACTTGTAAACCATGAGAAAAGCCACTGTTCCGGTTTGCAGTTTGGACCCTACTAGTACCGTAAAATAGCGCGGAAACGCTAACTTTGTTCAGGCGCTCACAATTAACCTTTTCCGAACTTGGAAATTTTCCAAATTACCGTAACATCCCGAGTCATCGCCCACCCCCCTGCCGCCTGAATTTCATAAAAAAGGGGGGTGAGCCGGTACTTGTTCAGTGAGCACAAAAAGTTTAGAAAAAGCTAAAAAAAAACACCCATTTTTTAGCACATGTCTGGCGCTGCTGCACGAGAGATACATTAAGCTCAAAACTCTAATTAGTTTTGTTGTTTTATTCAAGAAATGCTAATGAAAGAATGTTTTACTATCGCAAAGTCTGTTGCTGGTGCACGCGCGATGAATACCACCGAACGGCACACAACACAAACATTTGTTGCATGAAACCATTTTTCTAACATGGTTAGTAAGAAAATATAGTCAACAAGTAAACAGACAAAAACCAACGAGCAAGTGAGCGGGCAAAAGAAGTGACAAAGAGCGATACTGGAAAAGCGGGAACACCAGCGTTCGCGTTGGCAGATACTTTGGAGTCGGGGCAAGTTGGGCGCCTTGTGAATCGCAAGGAGTAGGCTCTTATGCAACTTTCTTGTTTAGTGCATACGTCCGTGTGTCCGTGCATAGAGTGACTATCCACGCGGGTGGAGGCGGCGTTGCTGCGTGGTGTGGACGGCACTACGAGCCTGCAGCTGGAAATGGGATGCTTTACAAACGTCGGCGTGCAACGTTCCTGCAGATGTTTATTTAGCCGTAGGCTTTGTCTCAAACATTGCGCACTTACCAACCGCAGTTGCGACATACTGGGAGAAGGGGTGGGTTCGTGATGACCTTATTTCCGTGGAGACGGTCTTTGACGTTACATCTTTGACCTTACATTCCGTGGTTACATCCCAGGATATGGGGCGTTCGTTGGCCTCGCGATCCCCGAATGGGTTAGCGCTTGTGTTATCTTTCTGACTGTCTTACAGTGGAGCTGTTAAGGGCTAGTTTCCCCAGTATCGTGTCCGCCAGCAAACAAATGATGACACAAAACTCTGGACAGCTATCGCCACCTATGAGCGACGGCGGAAGGCCATTACTTCATTCCCACCATAGTACAGCTTTGCTGGTCTTCCTTCTTTACCAAAATAGAAAAGCTGAAAGTTTTTTTCGTTTTTTAATTCGCTCAAGCTAACTTTTTTGTAAGCAAAAAGCTCGGAAAGCACGGAATACTACTTATAACTTTCGAATGAGATGACAGTTCTGAAACATTGGTGTCTGGTTCGCACTGCCAACACTTCATTTGGGGGGAGAATGGGCGTTTGGCAATGCGTAATTCATTTTTTGCGGTGAAAATACATCGTAAATTTTTTTTCGGGACATTCTGTACTTCAAGTTGGGTACACACGAATGTTGGTTGACGTTCAGCACGTTGCAGTCCTTGCAGTGGTTGGGAGCCAAAGAAATAAAACAAAAAAAAACATGTCCTTTCCACTTCAATAGTTTCGTCAAAGTAACAAACTCGGATGAACACAGTGTAACTAAAATTGACCGCACAAAGAGGAAGATTTAGTACGGTCACTTCCTCCGCTGACTGCACGTGTTTAGAAGTTGGAACCTTGCACGGTGTGGACCGTCCACGGGTGTGGACCATCCACGGGTGCGGGCTATTCGAGGATTTGTTTTTTCTAGACCCCTCCGTAAAGTCCCGTACAAACGCCCACCTCTGAAAGATCACCCATCCTATTTTTTGGGCTGAATATTTGTAACATAAAAATTTTGAAACATTGCCCGTCCCTCGATTCCCGCTGGATGTCAGTCACGCAATGCCCTACGGCTGTCGCATCGATTGCGCGGTGTGCGGTATCGGTGCGTGTGACAGACATGTTCGCCACGGGTTCCCTCGTGTTTATTGCACCGTGGCACGTGGATCTGCTTCATCCACAGTCTGCGATGTCCGTTCCTGTAACATGCAAAATCATAGCACGTTCTCAAATCTTTATTTTTTTTCGTCCGCCATTTGCGCGCGCAATAGTGGTTCCTGTGATACGCGAGTTTGTTGCTGTGTTCCGTGTTTATTGCACTGTGAATTGCGAATTTGCTGTGTCCCCAATCTGTGGTATCTGTTCCCGTGACATGCGAGTTCATACCAGGTTCCTGCACTTTTGTCCCCAATCTGCACATGCAGTATTTATTCCCGGTGCAGCAGAGATCGTAACTGGTTCTCACATATTTATCGCACTGTGAAGTGCGAATCTGTTGCATCCGCATTCTGCGTTATCTGTTCCTGTGCTGGGAGAATTTGTAGCTAATTTGCGCATACTTATTGCGCCGTGGAACTCGAATTTGCTTTATCTGCCATCTGTGGGATCAGTTTCTTTTTCATGTAGCTCGTATAGGTCCCTCCTCCACCCCCGTGCTTATCTCCAATATTCAATCAAATTTTGATGTCGCATCTCCAAAGCTTTTGGGACTTTATGGTAGACATGACTGTTTTCGTGAATGACAGAGTAGGTTAATGATGATTTATGTATGATTCAAGCTACTTGGTGAGCTGACAAATCGGGCATTTGTCGAGGTGTGCTGCATGCGATAAATGTTTTTCGTACATTCTAGGTGCGGACCATATAAGGAAATAACTTTTTGTTTTCGACCAAATTTGCACTGTGAACTATGACTGAGAAGATATGGTTACCCCGCATGATTTCATTACGGCTCTTGATGCAAAAACAGTTCAAGTGCTATTCCTCGTTCGAGCTCTGTTGTCACTGCATGTGCTGCAAGGTTCGTCTGCATGCAGTGATGTGATTGCTGCGCCAATTGCGCCAAACTGCGCTAAGGGGCTAACCCTGCTACATCCTGCTACATTTTGCCAAAATATGGGTATATGCGCCAAGCCTGCGTCAAAGGACCAATTTCGGTCGCCTTTTTAAACCGAAACTAAACTGAATACCGTAATTGAGCACGCGTGAGATAGATGGTGCAAGCGGTCGCCCGACACCAGAGCCGTATTACAGTGGCTTAAAAGGGGTAGTGTAACGAACGAAACCAGAGAAGCGGCACCGCGTTGGAAGACGGCCGCGGGTGGCGCTGGCGCTTGCAGCACCGTCGTTGCGGCTATGGCTCCGGTTTGGCCGCTTGTTCGACTTGGCTCTGGCCGATTTGCGGCTGTCGACTACACTGTCGTCTGCTAGTTTCATATTTTTATTCACCTTCAAACACAAACCATGTCGTTGGAAGTTCACTGGAAACAAATAATTGTTTTTGAGGTATTTATATCAGTTATGAAGCGTGTTAGGGTGCCTCTATCTGCCGGCTGATTGAGGCACCCAACGGAGCTGCGGATCGAAGCACCACCTACGCCGTCTTCCAAGGAGCGGTGGAGGCTACGCAATAACTACACTACCCCTTTAAGCCACTGTAGCCGTATATTGGCTAGTAATGGACCGAATCTGCCGAACTTCAGATTCGGCAAAGATTCGGCAAAAATTCGGCAAATGTCTGCGCACGCGCAAGAACGCGACGGAGCCAACGGAGCCTTGGATTGCAAATGGACGCTGTGCAGTCGAGCGGTTACCATCGTGCAATGTAGTACAACCAGCGGTTACGGCGCGGTGTGGGGTAGGGGACACGGTAACTGTGCGTTTGTGAGCGAGTGTGGTTCTCTTCAATATTTTCTGCCTCAAGATTAGAAGATCGACCAGTAATTTACGCAGTCCACTGCGCAAGTGACAAATGATGTGGCGCATTCTGAAACATTGAGAGATCGGCCGACAGTTACCGTATTTACTCGCGTATAGGTCGACCTGTTTTTCAAAAATCGCCTCATCAAAACTGGGGGGTCAGCCAATACGCGAATCCCGATATTATATTTTTCAACTTTTTTTTTTTTTTTTCGGGGGTCCCGAAGTTAGGGGGTCGACCTATACGACGTATCGACCAATATGCGAGTAAATACGGTACTTTAAAGCACTCCTCGCAATTATAATATTGCTTTTTCAATTGGTGTTATTTCGCGATTTTCACGTATCCGCATAAAACTAAACACAGAACCATCATGCTCGACGTTGCATATCCGACATTCACTCTCCCTATCTTCCGAAACGTTTGTGTGTGTCCTAACACCAGAAGCAGGCATGTTAAAGGTTAAAAACGAGACGTTGCAAATATTGGACGCACACTTTCATGAAAAGCTGACGTCAAGTGACTCAAATCGGAGGACGTGCATATTTACAATATTATTATTCTCTCTTCTGGTGAAGGCTCAGCAACCGTTGCATTCGTTTTCGCGCACAAAACGGTGACTCCCGGAGAAAGCAAGAACGCAGCGTTATTGCCTTCATTTCAGCAATGTACACCCTGTAGACACACATGCAGGCTTGCGCTGATGATGCCTCAAAACCGAAACTCTCGTAGCGTGATTCGTGACTGCGCCACGCTCGCTTCTACCCAAGTAAAGGTGCATTCACACAGCAGAAAGACGCACGTCGTGGGGTGAATTTTTTGCTTATTTTTGTATTGAAAAAAGTCGCGCGCCGAGGAGGACGACGCAGGGAGACGACGCCTCGGAACCCAATTTTTCCCTCGACGCGCGCGCTTGAGCCAATCAGCGAGCGTCCGAACGTGACGTATCGCCCTTTTCCGGTTAGGAAATGTTTTCGCTGTTTTTTTTATATTCGACTCACAATGAAGGCGAAAAGGCAGAGGGCTCGGGGGATTCGTGCACTCGCCAAACGTGGCTGGAAGCATTTCAGCGTGGAAAGAAGCAAGCCGATTGGAACATCTGACTGAGCAGTGTTTTATGTGCGTGTACGATGCCGTGAATCTACTCTTCATCGTTTGCGCGAAGCTGCTGCGAAAGCTACCACCGAAGTTCGCGGTGTGTTCCAATCTCCGACTGTGTGGGAGCGATCACTCCCAGTGTGTTGTGTAGTTTTGTGTACACCCATCACTACGGAATACAACAGTTCTCCATCAAAAACACTCTTGCACAAGCTGCGTGCAGTGTTAATGGTACGGACGCGAAGGCTCTAGGACGCACCGGCGTAGCACCGTGCTTTATTTGCACAAAAACGCGGCAAAAGATCACCTTCTGAAGCTGCCCGTTCGAGTCCGTGCCTTTCGCCAATGCTGCACATATAACCGAAGTGTAAACGTATATGTAATCATCACCGTTGTCCATTCAGTGAAGACGGTTGTCTCCCACCGCATATGCAATCGCGAAGGCAAGGCAACAACAATCGTGCAAAGCAGACGAATAAAAAAATTACGTGTTCTCTCGACAAACGTGAGATTCCCCGACACGACGCCGCCGTCAGGTGGCCCTGTGTGACAGCTTCGTATTTTACGATGCCGGCGTCGACGTCGACCGCAACACGCGTTTTTTGCTCAGTGTGAATGCGCCTTAACGTTGCTTCTACCCAACCTCGTTGTCACGCCACTTCTGCAAGGAGTCACAAAAATTGCCAGTAAACGCACAAAAACGACACTGATACAATTATCTTGCAGTATATCACCTTATTTTGTAAACATGTTGCATTTAAGTTGAGAAAAAAGAAACATAAAACCTTGAACATGATTGTAAACCTGAGACTGGGAGAGAAAAGAGAACACAACAGGAGGTAGAAAAAGGGGAGGCAACGTCTCAACTTGAGACGTTGCCTCCTCTTTTTCTACCTCCTGTTGTGTTTTCTTTTCTACCCAGTCTCAGGTTTACAATCATGTTCAACTTACACCAGCTCGCTTGCACTCTAACTATTTTTTCGTAAAACCTTTTTTCGCAAGAAAAAAACAAAATATCAACGAGTCTGGTAACAATGTATTTTTGCTAAATCTTTGCCGAATCTTTAGAAAAGTTCGGCAAAAGTTCGGCTTTGCCGAATCCCAAGATTCGGCACCGAACTTTCGATTTGGCAAAAGTTTGGCCCATCACTAATATTGGCAGAGTTTGGCCAATGGGGGAGGCCGCTGCCAGCGCCGAATACTGCCCCTGTGGTTGGAGCGTAAACTAAAAGGGTGACGCAGCGTCGACCAATCAGCAGACTGCGACATTACAATATTGAAAACGACATTTAAAGCGTGAAATAGAAACATTCTATCTCAGCGTCTCGGTGGCAGTTTGCTCTGGGCCGGCTTGGTGGGACAACTGCAAAAATACTAAAAAAAACAAGCGAGCTGGTGATGATTCATGCTAATAAAACCCGAGACTCAGGAACACAGAAGGGGACAGCTTCTTAGCTGAGTCTGGCTGAAAGAAAGCAGTGTAAAGGCTGGAACGCGTGAGCGCCTCAAGACGCAGACTGAGTCCCGCCCAGCTCGTGCGCTGGCTTTGGCAGGTTGTGAAGACAAGTGAGCTAAAGCAAAGAAGGCAGTGTCTGCACCTGAACCCGCACAGCGCGTTTGTTTGTCTCGAGTTCAGTCGTTGCACGAAGCGCTCCAAGAACTTTTTGACCCTGGCTCGTGATGTCTTGCATCAATGTGCTCAGGTTTTTTTTTTTTTTGCTGTGTGTTTAGCTTGTATCTAGCCCGCCGGTCTGGCAAGCACGTGCCTCTGGACTGTTTTTTGTCGTATGCTGGACACTTACATTTTGCATACAATTTTGGGAGCCAGTTGGCGACGGAGCGGAGTGGCATGGTTTCGATCGAACAGCCATCTCCGCTGGCACGACAATTTCGGATTGCACTGCAGTAGCTACGTGTTTCATCAGTTGGAGACTGCTTTCATATATTATATAACTTGTCAACCTAATGCTCTGTTATTTACTACAAAGCTGGTCATTTTCAAATAAATTTTAATATGTGAACTCTGGTTCTTATTTACCTATAGCGGGTATATATATACGTATGATTTAACTGAAGCAGTGCAAAATGTGTCATGTCATTGGCATTTCAGTTACATGTTAAAAGACTCCCAGGGGGTCTAACTTGACTATAATTTGTTTATTGCGGCAAACAAAGTGTCCTTCGTTTGTCCAGCACTTGAAACAAATATTTTTATTTTTCTAAGAATATCTGCTCCAAAAGTCACTTTTGCTGCTCAAAAACACTGTTTTGGCTGCTCCAAAGGCCACTTTTGCTGCTCCAAAAGTCACTTTTGCTGCTCAAAAACACTGTTTTGGCTGCTCCAAAGGCCACCTTTGCTGCTCCAAAACACTGTTTTTGCTGCTCCAAAAGGTGCTCCAAAACGGCCAATCACATCGCTGTGCATGCGTCAAACTTCGTTCGAGCCTCGTTTGGTGGGCGTGTCGCCTAGCGTTGCCCGTTTTCCACAGAAGCGGAAAGAGGAGCTGCTGAGCCTGAGTTCTTCCGGTCCTGGCGGTTTCTCCCTGGAACTGAGAGAGAAGCAGAACAGCCCCAGCGGCTCAAACGTTTCGATGGCATGGGGTCCCACCCCATTTTCCAGCCAGAGGAGCGACGCAGCCCTCGCCATGGCTTCCGCACTGGCGAGGGCCGGGCAGCCGACCGCCATTGGTAAGTGGGGCTGTCGTCTGTAGCAGAATAAGAAGCCGACTAACTCCGTCTTTGAGTTCCTTTGTTTGGATGAAGTATTTGGATTTTTTTTAAACACGTAGCCCTCGGATATTTTTACATAGAAACTCAAACTCATTTGGATAGTTACTTCTTTTTTTTTTTTTGTGAAGTTCGAAAATTTTAAATACTTCTTAATGTTGTTTTTGCAGGAATGAGATTTAACTGTAGATGCAAAACCAAGATCCATGTTTTGTTAATTGTGCAAGTTTTAAAAATTATTTTTTCGTGCTTTAGTTGGATTTTACTAACCTGCAGAAAAGCCTGAGCATGTTAGAATACATCTGTAGAGCTGGAAGCCTCATTTCAAATCAAAGCTGGGCTGTATACTGCTGAAAGCTTGATCCCTGTTTCAGGTGGTGGAATCTTGGGCTCGCTCGGAGGCCAGCCTGGTCTGACATCCACCGGAGGTGATGTATTTCTCTTCGCTACACCGGTTATTTAATTGCGTTACGAGAGATGGTGGTTTGTAGGACCGGGATTCTCAGGAGATGGGGGTTTGTAGGACCGGCATCCCCAAAGAAAGTTTGATCAAAGAACGTGGACATGTTACAAAACGTGTAACGCACACTTATAAAGACGAGTGTAAGAGAGTGGTAAATTGAGAAGAAATGACTAAATTCTGAACGCACCTGGACGGGATTCAAACCCACGACCCCACGATCGTGAGCTCGACATTCTACCACTGCGCAAGTTGGTGGGTAGACGGCAGTATCTATTACATGTTTGAATGTGGACGCCGGCGTTCACGTTCGGGCGGTTTGTGGAAGAAACAAGAAGTCCTAGATGTGCCCACCATCACATAAAAATGGACAGAGTTTGGAATGAAATGACACGGTATAACTAGGGTCCTGCGTTTTCAGTGTTTATTTTTTCTCGAAATTGGGGGTATTTTTTTTTTCAGCGTTTAATTTTCTATTACAGATTCAGTGTTCTTTGTTTCAATCGGTGTTCTTTGTCATAACCATTTTACACAAAAAACACTGAATCTGTAGGAAAGAATTAAACCCCGAAAAAATATAACCTGAATTTCGAGAAAACAAGTAAACACCAAAAATGCGGAACCCTAGGTGTAACCAAAGGAAACAAAATCGGCTGCAGTGTTCCCCCCAAACCTAGAAGAACGCCACAAAGACGCATTCTGCGTGTACCGACTTCGTGCTTGGAATTAAGATAAATTAATTAAAGGAGGCACTCTCTGCACTTTCCACTTTCACGGCGATAGCTGTTACAAGGTTGTGCCGGGAAACAAATCTGTTTCATGTGGGCGGAATGTGTGCATCTGGTTCTTGACGGGCAACTCTGTCTTCTACGGTTGGTGGGGGGATGCCGCCACAGATTCCTTACCGTAAAACTCTATTTGCAAAAACCGTCGGGTGTAAAGCAACTTTTCCCGTTCGGGCAAAATATTGACGGTTGTCGATTTTTGCAAAATTTTCACCGTGCACTGAATATCCACTCCCGGGTATGTCTACAAAATATCTTGTCAATATGATTGTTTTCTTCCGAGAAAACTTGCGTCCTACCCCTAAGAAGGTAGGACTTATGTATGCAGTGTGTTCCTTTTCCTACACACCTCAGTGACCACAAGGCTGTGTTGTGTGTGATCAAGTAAATAAAGAGCAGGTATGTATAGTTAAGTGGGGTACACATGATCGAAGAAAACGGGTGCCGCACAGCAGTTTCTATTTCAACCGGCGTGAGCGTCCCTACGTCACTTCCTCGGCGCCCCATCGCTCGGATCTGGTCAGTAGAGAAAACGCCGGGCCGTGCAACAGTGGTGTGCCTAGTGGCGAGCGGCACCCAGTTTCACTACTGGTTCGTTCCCTGCTTTAGGGTGCAAAGCAGATGACTCGTTGGCGGCCGGTGCGTATCAAGGAGGAGGAAGAAAAACGGCCATACGGGTTTTTGCATTACGACGGTTGGCAGAGTGAAAGCAGCAAGAACTGTACAGAGGTGGTGCTTGTCTAATAAAAGATGTCTCGTCATCCGGTTCACGTGCCGCCAGACCTCTTGCATGTCACGATGCGGTGGCCAAACGGCTCGGTACTGCAGCGTGAGCAGACGTCTGCTTGTGTTAGCAACATTTCGCTTGGCTCGCAGAGAATGAACATGCTCCTTTTTTAACGGCTGCTGTTGCCATTTGGGAAGAGGATCAGAACCCGACGCATTCTTGACCCATCGCCATACAGTCTCCCACTTTCCTTGGATTCGGGGATTTGCAGTCACCCGAAAAGCTTATGGACGGGCGCAAGGGTTTTGGCCTCATTCGTGGCGTTCGGCCCAAGCACTGCGTCAGCCGCGTCGCCCTCGAGGGACGTGCTGAGTTGCGGTTTCGCTCTCCAGGCACTTTTGCCGGCTGGAACGGCGGCCAGGTACCTAGGAGCTACAACCTCCAGGACCTCTGCCAGCGCTGCGGGTGCAAGGGGCATGATGTGCTCGGGTGCCCGACGGGTAGACATCAAGGCAAGTCCTGTCGTTTTCACCGCAACCAACCTGGTCACGCGTGAGCAAGTTGTCTGGGAAATGGCGAGCGACGGGGGTCGTTCAGGCGAGCGTCTGCGTGCCAGGTTGCTGCGACGGCCAGTGGAAGCAAGCCACTTGTGGAACCCCGTGTCGGGGACGCTACTTTCCGTGCACTCCTTGGCAACGAACCCAGCGCCAGTTGGCGGGAGATGCAGCGATAAGGGCTGTTGTTGCTGGGGGAGCATCAGTCCGGCGTCTCGAGTCTCTGGGACTCGTAATTTCTCCGGGGGAGTGTCGTCCATATCTAGACAAGGTTGCTGCAATGAAAAACTTTCCCGCCCCTCAGAGAGCGAAGGAGCTGCGGGCATTCTCGGGTCCGGCGACATGTTGCCGAAGTTTTATTCCCAGATTCTCGCGAGTAGCGAGACCTCTGCCATTTCTGTTGCGGAAGGACGTTCGAATAATGTGGGAAACCCGCAGCAGATGGCTTACGGCTGCTCAAGAGATCTCCGGGCGGACAATATGGTAGTAATGCTACCTGACCTCAACAGACAATATGCAATCCGATGCAAGTGCCATTGGCGATGCTGCAGTCCTTCTGTAGGGTATAGGTGGTCATCTCGGACCAGTTTCGTTCACGAGCAGGACTCTCGTGGAAACAGCGAGGCACTGCACAGCTCTTGTGCTGCGTAGTGCCTCACTGCTTCCACGAGAGTTCTGCTCGTGAACGAAACGGGTTTGAGATGGCCACCTAGATCCTGCGCAGCATGAGAGGAGCTGCCTGCGCAGTGCCTGTTTGCTTCCTCGAGAGTCCTGCTCCTGAATGAAGCTGCATAGCGCAGGAGAGGCACTCTGGCTGTCGTGCGGGTCGTCGGCAAGTTTAGACTTTACCTGGAATTCGCTCAATTTGAGATCCTTGCGGACCATGTCACCTCAAAGTGGATGTTTGTGACAGATGAAACATCTAGCAAAGCGTGCTATTGGGCTCTGATGCTAAGCATCCCTGCAGACGCCTTGAGCAGATGCCCCGCACTGTTGGAAAGTACAACATGACCCCCCGACTCGACAAAGGGGACGGAGGAGTGGCGGACAATGTGGTACTACAGCAGCGCCATAGTCACTCACAATGTGAGAGCAACAGGGCATGTCTTTTGAATCCCAAACGAGAGCTGGATTTGTTGGGCCTGAACAGTGATACCGATCTGGCCAAGCAGCAAATTCAAGACCCAGAACTGGCCAGGGTAGCCAGTTCTGGGTTTTGTCCATATTGTCTGTTCTCCAGCGCTCTTGCGCCATGGACGTGGACGTTGACTCAAGATGCCCGGGGTACTGCGTGTGGAGCGAGTCAGCGGAACAACCTCGTGCAGTTCTTCCGGTCCGGTCGTTGTGACGTACTTGAGCTCAAGGTTGCAGGATGCACAAGCGTCGGAGAAAGGCATGAGGGCTCGGCATAAACGTTACGTCAAAAAGAAGATGCCCGCAGAGCATCGGATGGGCGACTCGGTGGTGTGTGTCGTTCGCACTTTGGCTGATGCCAGCGAAGGGATCACAACGTATCTGGCCTGGACCAGAAGTGATCATGCAGAGAATCGGTTGCCACGACTACCGCCTTGAAAGGATGGCTCGGGTGGACGGCCAGTCGCCATTGCCCTTGTGGATCAGGTGGTCGCCTACGGGGGATAGCCCGCCACGACAAGTGGTCCAGGCAAATCTCTGTCTTTCCATCATCTCCATCATTCGCTCATCCACCGTGGGGGCTGAACTTTAATCGTTTTGTGGTTGTTGCCGTACATGTATGCCGGCGATTACACATTTGAAGATTTCCACCTTGGCGTGAAACTGTGCATGTCCTGGGTGGTGCTGCTACGTTTTGTTTTTTGGGGAACTGTAAACATTATTTTCGCACTTCGTGTCTCCTTAGTACGGCATTTTATACATAAAATTGGACGTTCTATGCACGTGATTCGCACAAGATGGCATCTCCGTGTGTCGGCCGGCTGCTCTGGGTGTATGGCAAAGTGGACAATTGGCCGAGTTTGTAAAAGTTCATCGTAACTTACAGCGCAACTGGTACAAGGACAGACAGACAGGAGAAAACACAGGACAAGCGCTGAATTAGCAACTGATTCTATTGAAAAGAAAAAAACTACACATGATGCTGCTGCTGCTTGTGCAGGCATGCCCCTTTGTGGCCCTGGCGCTTCTTCTTTCACTCAACACGAAGTCAGCTGGGTTATCCAAGATCCAAAAACTGATCTCACTGCACGTCAAAGCCACAGTGGGCTGGCTCGCACACAAGGATCTGTATTGTGTTATGTAGTACATCTCGGTCATTTCTCGGGGTAGTTTGTGCATGTGTCGGATCATCACTGTCGTGTTGGTGAAAAGCGGTTGGCATCCGCAATCCCGGCAATGCATCACGAGATGTGTGTAAGTGGTTCCTTTCATAGAACTGTGGTGTTCTCGTAGTCATATATTACGGCAGCGCCCAGTCTATCCTATATACCCATGCCCGCAGGAAAACGGAATCTTGTATATTACGCCTCCTACGCAGGCAACAAACTGCATTCCGTGTTTGACGCTGCACCCGCTGTGAGACGTTGGATCGTCTGTTGTCGCGTGTTTGTTTACTGCGGAGCACACTGAGCTGAGCTTGTGGCGGGCGGAAAAAACCACATTTACATCGTATCTCGAGGCGACTTTTTTGAGACCACGGGAAAGGCAGTGGATGTGTGGTATGACTGAAACTTTCCTCTCTCTCTGCTCGAGGTCACGTTGCTAGATCATTGGACCTGTTTTAAGGTGTTTGACCATTTTTTTTGCAAGCTGAAGAGATAACCGAATTAGGATATCCCTAATCCTTGAGGCCGCTGAATTTGGGACATGAAGCTGGAACTCAATATGTGGATGCATGTGCTTGTGAAAGCAGTCCTCAGACAGGAAAAAGCAATGCCTTTTTTGACGAGTTTGGAGTGGGCTGATTGAAAGTTTAGAAGAGCGTTCTCAGTTCTGAAACTGCAAGACCAGCAAACATGATCGCCCCCCACATCGACGAGGCGATCCAGGAAGTGAATAGGGTTCTTTTTTTGGGGCTTCATAGGTGAATCAAAGTCCTAGCCATTTTTCCGTAAATATCTCCAGCACATCGTCAAGCATCTGATTAAAATTGGCCCTTTCAACGAATACCAAATAATCGTCCACGTACACGTTTTTGGCGTGCTTCTCCAAGCAGGGTTCCAGACCCCGATCAATCCTGCCTAGGAACATGTTATTGAGCACAGCGGCTACCCTTGACCGTATGCTTACTCGAGACTTCTGTATGTACACCTTGTCCTGCCATCTGATGATTGTGGACTTTAAATAAACAGACAAACAAACAGGGTATGGCAATCGGAGTGCCGGGTCTTAGAATTCAGACTTTTAATGCCTCTCAGAATCGAATTCAGAGGATGAGGGCTCATCAACTGATAGAAGAGCTCTGTAAAGTACCTCCGGTTCCAAGTCTGCGACCGCCGAAATGTCGCGGTAACAGACGCACCAAAATGAAACCGAATGGAAAAAAGGCGACAACCTTTTGCCTTAAACCTTTCCATTTGACGCTTGTCAACCTGAACAGCTTGCGAGCACTGTACATGCTCCCATTGGATAACTCTTTACTCTTTACATGTATTCTTTATTTGTACCATTCCTTTGGTAACAAACCCCAACCGCTAGGCACACCTTCTTGAAAAAATATTTGGCGGTGAAAGGGTTAACCCTGGTATTCATATCTTCAGAAAAGGCAATTATTGTGCGAAGCAGCCGGCATAGTGAGGACAGGTAGTAGGATGGGTGCAGTGTTCTAGGGTTCTTGCGTTATTCGTGTTAGCTGGGTAATAGCAGCGTGAACTATGACAGCATAAAAGTGGGTGTTACTACGTATGCGCAATAAACGCTATCGCCGTGCCGTCTCTTTGCACATTGTAACAAAAAGCTGCATTTCTTTTCCTCTTCTTTCACATTTTTTTTACCCCTTCCATTCGAGTAAATACGTTCTGCCCTTTCAGTTCCTTCCTTCACTATCACATAGTGTGGGAAAGGAGAAAACAGGATTTTCTGCCAGGGAGATTTGTCAGGTTTGGAAATTATTATGGCCGAGGCTACATCCACGCGCGGGGACGTAGCCAAGTCGGGAGGAGATAAGGCTCCATCCACGCAAAAGGTCACGTGACTTATAATATAAAGAGATAATTTGCTTTTATGAACATATTATACCTTCTTATAAGTAAATATAGGATATAAAAATAAAGAGGTTATATTTCATTGTTGTTTTAAGGTTAATATGTCACGTGACCTTACAAATGTTTAGACAATTCATTAATGGTTTACTGTTTTCTAAGACTAATAGCAAATATAATGCATCATGAAAATAGTACCAATTGAGACGTTGCCTCGTCTTTTTCTACCTTCTGGTGTGTCCTCTTTTCTGCCCCAGTCTCAGGTTTACAATCATGTTCAATATATATCTTTATAGTTATGTTGTCCAGGAGTCACACACACGTGTGGGCGGCGTGCGTGCCATCCGTGCGTGCGGGCGGTGCGGGTGCGGCCTCCGGGGCCTTTTAATGTGAGCTTATGTGTATCGAAGGGGACAAGTACGTGCCCACCGCTTCGTACGTTCTTGATTTGCGCGCACGCTTGCAATCACACAAAGATTGTGAGAAAAGGGAAAACATGCACTAGTCCCATGAATAACAAACATACTGAGAGCATTCAATCGAGAAAACTGGGTAAAAGATTCCAGAAACAGTTTATTCCATGACAAATAAGACAGTAGCCGATGCACAGATGCCACTCGTCCACGAGATCACCGATAAACACGAAGCCCTGCTTGCGGCAGAACTCCTGCAGGAGCCAGTTCACGTCTCTGTGCCGATCATTCAACGCCTGGATATCGGCACTCTGACTACGCTGACACTCCATCGAAGAGAACCTGTTCCCCCGCCTAGGAAGGACGGAAGAAAAGGCGATCTGCATCGTCGATTGCGTCCCAAGATCTGAGCGGCCAGCCAACAATACTTGTCAACGTACGCGCTGGCACAAACGCTGGTGTTGTTTGTACCAAAATCGAGCAGGGCGTCAGACACCTTGGAAAACAAAGCCTCGATCCTAATGCCACTAAACGCCCGCACTTCGACAGCCTCCCGATTATTCAATGGGAAATACTAGGACAAGTATTTCACCGTCGAACCCCCGGCAACCAAAACTTGAGGCAGATCAGAAGCGCGACCGTGCTAATACTCAAACGGCCAAACTCCTTGTCCGAGAAAACAGAAAGAAAATAAAAACGCTTCAGAGAAAGTCAAAACCGCTTGCGGAAGACCAGGCAGGCACAGTAGACAGTAGTCCGCGCACGGCAGGAACGCAAGGTGCAATGGCCCGGGCCGCCAAGCAAATGGAAAAACAATGGGCACAATGGGAGGCTAGACCGGAAGTTGATCGTAGTGCGCCGGAAGTGACGTATTGCGTGGATGGAGCCTTATCTCCTCCCGACGTGGCTACATCCCCGCGCGTGGATGTAGACACTCCCAATTATTATTGCTGTCAACTAGAATGTTTTTCCTTTGCTTTTTATTTCACTTTTATATTAGCCTTGGTTTTTGTGTTAGTGTATGTACAGGCAGTCTTTTTTTAGGCTGTACAGATTTGTTTAAAAAAAATAAAAGCCGTGGAAGCTACACTAATGCTGTTGGTGCAGGCGAGTTATGCGGCCAGGGGGGTCACAACATAGGGGGCTAATCACAATAAGTCTGCTAATTAACTTAAATGTGTTAATTAACTTTTTAAATAGTGAAAATAAACGTCAGGTTCCAATCGGAAACTTGCTGAGCATTGTAGGAAAAGACAAAATCAGTCAATTTTAGAAAGGCTGGGAGCACAGTGGAGCACTGAAATTACCGCTTGAGCAGGAGCAAGGCTACTGGTGCGAGAACACGCCCGCACAGTTTTTAAAATTTTTTTATTATTTGCATTTTCTCACTGCCATCCTTGCGCCTGTTTCACGAGTGGTGTTTTTATGCACTACTGCGCTTCCCACGCGTTTGGTCTTTCTGAAAATTAGCCTTTTTGTGGTTTTCTATGACGCTCAGCAACATATGTTTATTTTCACTAATTAAAAAGTTATCTAACAAGCTTTAGTTAATTTTCCGGCTTAATGTGACATTGGCCCCCTTTATAATGCCCCCTTCCCTGTCCATGTAACTCACCTGCTCAGACCGCAATAGTGCAGCTTTCACGGCTATCTTTAAACAAATCCATAAAGCCTTAAGAAGACACCCTATATAGTATCATGCATAGCATCTAACATTAGTATACCAAGGAAATTATGTTTGCATTTTTTTTTCCTTTCATATCTTTTTGTGCGTTGTGTACAATTTTTTTTTTTTATTGGAGGCTCGCATCGCATTACCCTCCCGTTGACTTTGATGCTCCCGCTGCACTGAACTTCTTTGCTCGTAGGAATGAATTATTGTTGTTAATATCGGGTTCAGGGAATTGCTGAAATTGAGACCGTACAAACCCATCTTTTTTTCCAATGCAGGTTTGGTATCGTCCGGCCTTTTCGGCGGTCAGGCACCCACGGGCACGTCCTCCCTCTTTGCCTCGGCGAGTCCCTTTAAATCTCTAGGTAAATAGCGGTAAGCGCTGGTTTCTCCCGTCGGAAAGGCTTTCGCTTGTTTTTTGCGTTTGCGAGTCTGTCCCATGCAGGAAGCTCGCCTTCCAAGGACCCCGCAGATCCGCCTTAACGGCGAGACGAAACAACTGTACTACAGAGCCGCCTTTTTTCGTGTTTCTCGTAGGGGGAGACTCCTTTGGGTCGTCGACCACGGGCCAGACGTTCCAGCTCCAGAGGCCGCCGCCAGGCAACAAACGTGGCAAGAAATAGCCTCGACCTCCGTGCCTTTTTTTCCGAAGCAGTGGCCTTACGAGGTTATTGTTGTACGGCCTTTTCGTTTATGCTCACCTTTTTAACTGTGGCGTGCCTAATTGTACAAAAGGAAAGACACCAGGGACACTCGACGCCATTCTTGCGCTGTTGTACCATTTATTGTAACTGTGTCCGGCACCTGCGATGCGGCAGATTAAAGGAGCTTTCTAAAGTATGGCGGTTTAGACTTTGTATTGTTAAAGCTTTTTATGGCAAACTGCACTGTTTAGAAACTCGCGTGGTGAAACGGATACAAATTAAATAGTGTGCCGAGTATAAAAGGAGTGGGTGAAAACAGCGAAAGTTCAGTGGTTACCGCCATTTGCGTGCATCCAGACTTTCTCTTTTCGTTCGGTGCTCCCCTTTTTTTTGAAAGTCCGGGGACACTCATTGTTGATGAGACCAGAAAGCAACTGTTGTCTGGTCTTCTACTAACATCATCTTGGAGCTGACACTCACGACACCTCGGATTTGAAACACGGCCTGTCGCGACGCCGAAGTTGTTGCAGCTTCTGCCCGTCGGAGCATTGTCCCTCGAAGGCACTTAGTCCCTGTGTGAATCGGTCGACTGGCGCCATGCCTCAACGAGGAACACACAGGAGTGGAACCTGTAGAAGATGACAAGCGGAAGCGCCACTCTGGAGATGATGCCCCAGGACACTGCTCCGTACATGGCCAGCTGCTGCTGACTCACAATGTGGTTCTGATTGGTGAAGGTCTCCAGAAGCCACAAGACCAGGTTGCTGAACATGAGGAACGTGACGACCTGAAGACCCGGCTTGTGGCCGCCGTGCTTCTTGGACACGACGCTGGCCGCGACTCGTTGCACGAACAGGGACTGGAGGCTGGCGAAGATGACCATGAAGGCACCGTCGAGGAGCAGGAGGACGTGCTCCGCTCCGTCCCCGATCTTGGATGCTCCGACCACGACGCCGAAGACGCCGTACATGTAGACTGCCAGGATTCCGATCGCTTGGAGGGTGGAGTTGAGCTGAGTCATCCTGCGGCGTCTGTGGTGCATTCCCCCAACTCTGCAGAGTCCGACGGCTGCGGCCAGGAGAGAGAGTCCCTGCACCGCACAGTGGAGTGTGGTGACTGCGGACAGTGTCTCGGCTTCCATGTTTTCGTTGCTGAGCACAAAGAAGAGGATGAGGACGATGATTCCGGCCACCAGGACCAGGAGACCAAGGAACAGGCCCTTGCTGGAGCTCTGGCAGTCTAGGAACCGGAAGCTTCCGCTTCCGGAATCGGCCTCAGTGCGGCCATTGGAAGAGGAATGGCGCTTCTGGTCCTTGGTGCTGCCGCCGCTGCTGCTGTTGCCCTTGGTGCAGTAGGAGAAGTTGTCCCAAAGAGTGTAGATGACAACGGCGCCAACGACACAGTACTGGACGATGAAGGGAGATAGGAAGGGTGCAGCCTTTTTCCAGATGGCACCGATGGTGGAGTTGTGCAGGCATCGCTGCAATGTCAGCATGCGTTCCATGGGCATGTTCTCTTGTGGTCGCCACAGGCAGTCCGACGTAACTGGAACAGGAGGGCAGGGACCACATCTTTGCAATATAATGAAGTGGGAAAAAAAGTGAACTAATCTAAATACTTAATTATTTTGTCTGAATTAGCGACAAATTAACTTTTTTATGCAAGGAGCTTTTACTAAACTTCTATACCATAGATTTGTACCAAAACAGTGTGGCAGATTTTTTTCTTAACAGTTTTACTTTTTAACAGTTTACTTTTTAACAGTTGCACAGAGTAAATAATGTTTTGAGTGTGGATAAGAATGTTTATAGCTATTTGATGAATGTTACAACTTTTGTGGAGTGCCTGTGCAGCTCAGGTTGCACGATTTGATTAGCATATGTAGCGCATGGAAAATAGGCTGCAAATGTTTCAGTTTGAGGTCGTAAGAATCCACTGGTTTCCTAACACTTCCTATTGTCCAGTATGAGCTCATTTCGAATTGAATGGTATTACGATTTCCCCAAGTTTTACTTTAACATTATATTTGATGTGAATATATGTGCAAGTTCCGGTTAGCACTCCTAGCCTTGTAAATGAATTTTGTACGTCTTTTCATTTTGGTCTTACTTTTTGGAGTGTGCTGTACATTTTTCACTGATAGTCGCCACTTAAAATGTTTCAGCACATGTTTTGACTGGCAGGCATTTTGAATGCTTGGTGCAATTGCAGATATAGTAATGAGCCCCAAACTAGCTTGGAGAACTTTGTACCCTAACCATTAGACCATGTCAGCTATACAGAACTCTCCAATAGAATGACCTGAAAATTGATATGCACCAATCTTGTCTAAATAATTTTTTTTTTTTTCACATTTTGTTTTAGTTTAAAGTTTAAACTACTATGGCCTGATGAGCAACAAGAGATCTGCAACGTTTGGACAAATAGATGGCCACAGTTGGTGGTCCCTCAACCCCCAAAGTGAGCACTTGGTGTGTTTGTTTTCTTTGTTTTGTATTGCAATGCTTGAATAGCCAAGGTTATAGTTTCTCTAGAATGCATCTTGGTTGTGTGATTGAGAGATGCTGCCAAAGCTTTGAGCTTGTGCATGAATTCTTGATAAAAAATTGAATATATTTGCTCTTCAACTTGCAAGTTGGAACACGGCTGGACCTGTGTAAATATCTCCGACATGTTTCACTGGTCGTTGTTCAGAAATCTCGAAATTAAAGCTACACTCTTCAAGAAGTGGTCACTTCTAACGTCTCGACAATTTTGTGCCTGCAGCAAAGATGCATAAAAACTGACATTTAATGGAGGCAAAAGTGCGCCACCAGCAATGGACATTTACCGCATACAGGCAGCACCCAACGGCGGGTGTCTTATGCTATTATTAGAGCATTTCCGAAGTTCTGAAATGATGCATAGATTATGCGCAACCGCAGCTAGTTCGTCTCATTGCTTCTGGCGTAAACCATGCGATTGGTTCTGAGTTTGCGTCAAGCACTGCCGCAGCACTCGTGTACAATGGGTTTCGATCCGAGTATACTCCGAATGCTGGCGAAGCGCTAGTGTCCAATGCATACTCACGGTGCACGACCAACTAATGGCAGCCGCACATAATCTACGCATAATTTCGAAATTTGTCTATTAGCATTCTACATGGCCAGGCACCGTCTTCTCATATGCAATGATTTTGGTGATGTACACAGCTGTGGACTACTTAAGGGGCAGGAAATATTGTGGCATGCTTGCTAAACAGGATAATTCTGAACAAAACCATGATGAAAATGGCTTTGCTGCACCTATTTTGCCTGTCCTATACTTTGCAGCACATGCGAGCCTCCACCGCTAGATGGAAGTAGAGCCCCTGCATCTGTACAACTCTTCTCAAAAGAGGTACATTATTAGAGAAAAAGTTTATCGCAAATTGATTAACATAGAAGTCTGGACTAGTTGGTATGCAGACATAATTAAAAACAACCGAAAAGATAAAGGTAACTGCCAGGACTCAGCGCTAATTCTCAGCCGAAGATTCATTTGTTAGCGTCAAGTATAAATAGCAAACATGCCACACCAAATAAATCAAGGAGAAAAATGAAAGACGTTTACAACTTCCTGCAATACTGAATTAGAGCGCAGCTCTTGAGGAGGAAGAGGGGAGGGGACGGTATGGCCCCCTCCTCCTCATCTCCTCCTGTGCTCCTTGCCTCTTCCCTTCGTCCCCCCCTCCCTCTTTCTCTTCCCTCCTCCTGCCCCTTCTCCCTCCTCCACCCTCCCGCGCGGGACATTATGAGAAACGTCCCATAATGCAAAGCGCGCGTCACGCTGATGCCGACGCTGCTCAAGCCGGAAATGGGCGTCTAAGCTGCGCTCTAAAACAAAAAATGCATATCATGTGTTCAACAACACAGTCGCTGGTTTGCCATCATTGCTCCAAGTACTGCCTGTCTTTATCTGAAAGCACGAGCGAAGGGGCACTATTGCAATCTGGTACCAGTCTTGCGATATCACGGGCTTCTGTAATATCACGCAAGACTGTCTTTATTTTTAAAACCACTTGGCATTTGTCAAAGATTGGGACAACCACAATCTGCAGTGCAGCCCGAGGTGACTAGACACAACTTTAAGAATGTTATATCGGTGTTCTCTGAGCCGTCTGTTGACGCATCTTTCTGTTTGACCGACATAACGACGGCTGCAAGATAAAGGAATGGAATAGACCACTCCCTGCACGCTACCACGAATTGGTTTTTGGTGTTTTTTTTAGTGCACCCGATCTTATTTTTAACATTCCAATGAACTTTTCTGCAGAGCCCGGCCAGCGTATTTGGTGCTGAAAACACCATCTCAACTCCCACGCGACTTTCTACCTTCAGGTTATGTGAGATACCGTCCAGGTACGGTACAACAGCGCAAAGGGGAGAGGGGGAGATGGTTGTGTGTTGACGTCAGTGCTTCGGCCCAATGGGAGTGTCGCACGCGTCACCCTCTCCACCTCCTTCCTCTCCCCGGCGCTGACAAACAAAAGACACCGCCGGATTTTCGTCAAAACGAGCGTTCTTATACGCATTAAAGAACATTGAGGGGTACGCACAGAAGACCTTATGCTCTCCCTTGTCGTCGATGACGTGAGTGGTGAAGTTGAAGCCTTTCGGGGGCCAGATGGTCTGGCCGGCTTGTACCACGTGATTCTGCCGGAGCCACTCGCTCGAGGTCTCCCAGAGGAGGAGCTTGAGCCAGACAGCAACGTTGGTGGCGACCAGGTGCATGAGCACCGGATGCCGCAGGCATCCCAGGGACCTCGCCACTCGCTGGATCGAGGCACAAGTACAGGGGTCCGCAAACCCTTAGTTCTAGTTGGGTCTTACGTGGGCCTTATCTAAGACAACCTCAACAAGCATTCTCAAAGCTAGGCTTGGGCACTTGCATGCCTAAACGTTAAAATATATTTTTTTAAACTTTTACAACGAAGCTGTATATGACTCGTTAATCGGGTTTTTTCATGTCTGTTGACAGAAAAGCATCGCACATGCCTTATCATCGTTCGCGCGCATCTTATCTATAATGTGGTTTTGACACTTGTTTCAATTAGAAAACCGCAAAACAAGTGTCAAAACCACATGATAGACGATAAGTCCGTAGCTCTCCCCGCATGTGTTTCTCGGTAAAGATTGCGGTTGCATGAGCTGCCGCGGCAATGTCAACGTACGAAGTCTTTCATATATATAAAAAAAATGAAAGCCGTTTACAACTCCCTGTAACGCCGGATTAGAGCACAGCTCTTGAGGAGGGGAAGGTATATCCTTCCTCCCTCCCTCCTGTCTGCTACTCTTCCCTCCGAGCTGCGTCGCCGTCGTACGGGGGGGTCACGTGACGTCACCGGGGTCACGTGACCCCTATGAGGTCACGTGACGATGCCGATGACGTCATGAGTGATATCACGGATGACGTCATCAGGGACGATGCGGATGCCGATAACGTCATCAGTGACGATGCCGGTGACGTCACTGATAACGTCACGCGACCCATAATGTACCGCGCGGTTACGCCGACGGCGACGCCGCTCAAGCCACAAACGGGCGCCTAAAGGCCGGTTCTCACATGCAGCGAAGCGCTCATGTAGCGCTCCTCACGTGTCGTCGGCTACTTATCCTCTGCCATGAGCAACAGTTTTGGCGGTGCGATACAAAGCTGGTGAATGCTGCCGTCAGCACGCGCTTAGCGCGAGGTTAGCGCTATGCTTGTAGCGCTCCGCTGCATGTCTGAACGGGCCTTAAGTGCTGCGCTCTAAAAGTTTTGGTACAGTGCATTTACTTTTCTTTCGTCAATTATTTAGTATAGACCCTTTAGCTGTTTACAAACATGAACTACCGCTTGTGTCCCCAGCGACTTCCGGTCGGACCGTCTTTGCAAGCTTGTTGAACTTGCTTATGTCACCAGCGCTAGAAAGAACCAATACACGGACATCGAAGTTGGAGATTTATTGAGGGCCTTCGGCTGTACAATATTACATCTTCGAGGAGGCAAGTCATTTTACAAGAATACTCGAAACATTTTAACAGATCTTGCACTCCATTCTTCTGGCATTCACCTGGAGCATTGGTTAAACGTTTCATCTACATTTCAAGCAGTGGTGTTAAAGTGGCCTTTGCTCACAACCCGGAAGTTCTCTGAGACGTCAAAGACTGGAGCACCACCTGGTGGCGTTTGACATAAAAAGGGTCTATAGTGCAGTGGCCCGTGGGCAATCGTTGCAGGTGATGCCACAGCTTCGCTGTTCACCTTTACAGCGTAGATTGAAGCCCCAACTGTTGATTTTATTTTGACCAAGCCGACCCTCTTGTCGTTGCGTGTCGGCACAAGAGGGCAGGGGAAAGAAGGGAAGTAGTGCACTAAAGTTACCGCTAGTGGAGCAGGTACAAGACTAGCGGTTTCGGTATGGCCCTCGCGCAATTTTTCCGTTTCTTATCTAGCCCCATAACCTTGTACCTGCTCCACGAGTGGTAACTTTAGTGCGCTACTGCGCTTCTCACGCGCTCAGTCTTTCTGAAAATGACTGATTTAGGGGTTTTGGATGACGCTCAGCAAGTTTCTAATTGGAACCATATGTCTATTTCCACTAATTAAAAAGTTAATTAACGAATTTTAATTCATTAGCCGACTGATCGCAAAGATTAGCCACACACATAATGTCCGCCTAGCCGTAGAACCCACACGCACAAACCGCATTAATGTAGCTTTCATTGTTTTTTTAAACAAATGTGTAAGAATAAAAGAAAAAAAAAAAAAAACACCTGGTATAAAAAAGGCAGCTCTTAGTTGCAGTAATGATTTCTTAATGAAACTACGGCTAATATTTATGATAGACTGTGGTATTCTGGCTATATATATATATATATATATATATATATTTTTTTTTTTTTTTTTTTTTTCAAATCCGTGATTTAGCGAGGGCACTCGCAAAAAAAATTGTATGAACTGCTCTATACATGTTTTGCACCTGACGTCGACGTGGTCGTCGACGCCGACATGGCCGACACCCCACGCAACGTCAAACGTCGCTATGACGTCCTGTTAATGTCGGCCTGACGTCGCGAGACGTCGCCGTCACGTTCACGTCGTCCTGACGTCGCGCGACGTCGTCGTCAACGCGACGTCACTACGACGTCACGACGAAGCCTTGGCGTCGTGTAACGTCGTTGTCTTCGCCAACATCGACGTCGACGCGCCGTCTCGACGAAGTCCTAACATCGTGTGACGTAACGTCGACGTCGTAATGGCGCATATGGCGGCCGTCACGCTTCCCCTTCTAGCCACCATAGTTGAACTCTTGAACTTTCGTCAAACTATGACTAATAAAAAAAAATTGCGACGTGAGAACGCGACTTTGTCACGCCAGACGGCAAGCAGTCGAAGAAAAGGAAAGCCAGCAGATGGTTTTCAGCACCTGCGACGATGCTGACAAAGCACTTCGGATAGAGCTTTCTTTTATGTTGATATTTTTTTATGCGTCGTCATCATTTAATTTTTTAGTTTAATTGCAACAATAATAATAAAAAAAAAAAAGATTACGCAACGGGACGACGCCATTTGATCAGACTGTAGACAACTCGCGAGCGATGCAAAGCCAGACAGTAGGTTCGCAACCGGGCAACGTAGGAAGCCGTTCGAAACGTGGAGACAAGACGCCTGCGTATTTGTTACGTCCGTCACCGACCAGAATCTCTCCTGTTTTCGCGTGTGCGAATGTGAGGATCAGTGCCTCATAAGTGTTGTGTGCCATGACGTCGGGGTGCCGGAGAACCGAAGGTCCAGATATCCTTCCCAGTAGACGAGCAACGGTGTATCAAACGAATTAAGGAAATTCCGGAGAGAGACGTTGAAGTTACGAGCTCTTCAAAGGTACTTTTTTTTTTCTTTCGTGAAAACGGCCGGAGTATGCGCACATTTATCTGGTTTATTGCGGGTGGCTTTCGTGCCAGGAGAGGGCAAGTACAACTAATACTACCGTCATACCACTGCCCTTTCGCTGATAATAGTCGCAATTGAGGGGTTGAGGCGCAGCGCAGTCGGCCAATGGCGATTGCGCTGGGGGTCATGTGATCGCCCTCATCGCCACGTGCTCTTTCTCGCCTTCGGTCTTCCGTTCGCTCGATGCTCTAACTAACTGTATAAGCCTCGCATCACGTGACCTCGCACCCTCAGCCGGAACATGCGCGGGGACAGCACAGCCAGGTGGACACGTGCCCGAGGATTCCGAAATGCTATCTCGTTTCCCCAAATTCACTTTAGTTAATTAAAGAAAAAGATATTTCGTTCGCTGCCAAAACCGAAACATGGCTCTCCCTAGTTTTTCCCCAGTCTTTCCCGCCGCCCAAACATGAAGTCACCGGCGGGCAGCGAAGCGCGCGGCCGGCCAACCGGGTACACTCGCGCCCACCTTTCTTGCGTCTAGCTGTGAGAAAACATGGTGTTCGTGCTACCTGGAGATGATAATAATCTCTATCTGCACAAAGTATGACCCTTGCTTGCGTGCTAAACAATAATAAAAAAAAAAACTGTGATTTTGGGAAAACCGTTTTTGCAACTCGGTACGTTAAAGCCGCGGCTCGCTAGTTTCGTGAAATTGCGAGCAAATCCGTTTTCCGTCTATCAGAAGCTGGCAGTTAAGGCCCGTTCACACTCTTGCAACCGAGTACGACCGAGAAAGACCAGACAGGTTTTTAAGCCTCTTGCGATCTCTTAGGACCAGCTCCGCTGCCTCGCATCCGGTCCTAAGAAGTCGCTCTCAGTCGTACTCGGTCGCAAGAGTGTGAACGGGCCTTTACGCTCACGGACAAAGGTCAACGAATCAAGCAGTACATTTTTTGACAAACAACCCAAGCGCCAGGAAGAATGCTCGAAATGTGGATACAGGTGCCCACACGCTCGTCTTACCTGAAGGAACGTGCCATTTGATTTAGACTTTCTTTAAAAAAAAAGTTACTGTTGCAGACGCCAGCACGTGTAACTAACTACATTTGTAGCATGCATCAGCGTCAGAGATCGGTGAAGTTTTGTAACTCTACCTCCTCTCCCTTTCTTACTTTGATAATGTAACCGCACTTGCATCTTCACTTTTACTACTTTTTCTTTAAAACCTCAGTTGTGAGTCAGCGCTCTCTCCTTCCTGCTGTCTCTTCCTTCCTTACCTTATTTGCACTGTTTGCAAGTCAACATCAGTGTTCCTGCGTATGGTGCGTACTTTGCTCGTCTTCCAAAGCAATGAACATGCGCGTGCTGGGCTGTGACCGAACACATGTAGGGTGTGATTCTTGTGAACATTGAAATGTATGGAATGGAATGAACTGCATTCGTGTAGGACACATGGCAGGTTTCTGTCCATAAAAATCGCGCTAAAATGAAAACTAAAAAAAAATTCTGAGGACACCTAAGCACTTCTTATGAGTTGTGAATGCGAAAGCATGAACGTCGTTCTTCCGCCCCCTTAGTTCGTCTGCGGTGTACTTGCATGGACGGCCAAAGTTTCGCTCTACTGCCGAGGTTGCGGCCGGCGGCCGAGCGCGTGCTCTGGTGAAGCGGCCGCAGCCGCTTCACGAGAGCACGTGGGAGTTTTGGTACTCTGGGAACATTCAGCGACTCTAGTACTGGGTCGCTAAACTCGTCAACAAAAATATTCTTCGTGTTATGACATAGTGGGGGGAGGAGCCGAAAGATTGCTGCGAAGTTTTCTTTTCTCACAAACCCGCAGATCCGTCTGTCTTCGTGACGTTTTTTGTTGAGGGGGCGAAAAATCCCTACACCTCCCTAG